TCAAAGACATCTATGACATAGAGCTTCCCCAATCACTTAGGACTGAAGGGATTCCCAAGCTACGATCTGATGATGTATGCTACTAAACCCTAGAGAAATGAGGGCAATACACCTAGCAGCATTCTCATAATAAGCCAGAGGGTGTGCAGAAGCCTCAGACATTGTGCTAGGTGGAACGGCAATCCAAAGAAAGTGATTTTCAGTGTGAAAGGCAGAATCATCCAAAGTCAACCATTTCACAGCAACGCATTAGGACTGATGAACTATCAAAGAATTACCTGCATGTTTCATTTTTAACTTTCTGCCAACTCACAACCATCCTCTTCAGATTTTTACAGTGAAGAAATAAACAGCAACATTTTCATTTTTCCAGGCAGGTTTTAGAATTTCTTCTTCTATGACAAACTTAAAGAAATGTAATTCTCTCCTCAGACCTTGAAATCTTTTTCAGATTGAGAAAATACCTTGCTCTTGCAAGCTTGGCTCCCACTAGCATATGCAGGAAGACCAGAATTCTAATCTAATCATAGTAGAGCTTTTTGTTCTGCTTTGGTTTCACAAGAGCCTTTCCCTTCCCTGTCCACCCCCCATTTTTGCTTTTGCTAATAGAAAAACTAGTTCCTTAAAAAGCAAGAGTTCGACATGAGGCAGTTTAGAGAGCACCAAATTGGAATAGGTCTTTAAGCACTCAGAGAGCCTCTGACCTCTTAAAATGTCTGTGATTTCTGAATGCTCCACACAAAACAAGAAATAGCATTTTGGTTCTGCTCCTATAAGAAAATCACTTTGGCTTTCTATTAACAGAATGACAGATCTCAGCTAAATGAAGTATACTCAGACTCACTCTTGTTCTCATAAATCCACCTCCCCCCAAAAAACAAATAAAACTCCAAATGTTCATGACTCTATGGGGTTCCTCACAAAGAAGTTGTTTTACATGGAATTCCTTATTATCTTTAAAGATTTTTTTTTAAAAAAGTTTTTATAATTAATCTGTTATAGACACTTAAGTTCATGTAATCACACAACAGACTCAGTATATCCAAAATCATTTCCAAATAGACCTCATTCTAAATTTCAAAATTCTACATAGCTTTAAATCAAATACCATGTCTTTTCTCCCCCTTGCTCACTCACTGTCCTAAACCAGATTTTTTTCTTAGTATGAAATTTTTCTTAAAAGAAAATCTGCAAAAAAAGGCTGTACATCATTTATTCCCATCTCAAATGAAATCCAGTATTCAGTAAATCATAAGAGCAAGATGAAGAAGCAATACATTAACCAAGCATGAAATCCTTCCCATCTTAGGAAAGGAAATGTGATCCATTGTAATTCTGGTAGCTCATGAGATTTACACAACCAAAATAAAGAGACTTGATTTCAAAAAAAAAAAAAAAGTCACTAGAGATAAGCTGTGGAAACAGATGAAATTAAATATCATAATTATTCCAACACAGCAGGACGTACTGCACTAGTGCAAATATCCCTGACTTAAAGAGAAAGGAATATTTGTGTGGGAAGAGCGGGGAGGCCTGCGCACATACGCTTTCTCCTGAAAAATGTATGAAACGAGTCCCATGACTGTTGAACGGTTAACAGATAGCTAAATATTTTTAGGCATTCATTAGGGACAACTTCCCTATTCCATGTTTCAGTGATGCTGGCCTTCCAAATTCATACCAATCAAATCTTTGCACAAATATTTACACTAAGTGTCTTTAAGTAAAGCACAGCATTCTCCAAGTTTCTCCATCTGATGTGGCTCACCACTGTATCCGCTAGCTGTAGCTGTCTGCTTACACAAGGTCCATTCCCTGATTGTGTCTTCAATTGCTTTCATTGCTTTGCAGCTTCTTGCCAGGAATTAGGTGAAAAACAGCTTTATTGATTAGTAATGGTGGGGAAAAGACATAAATCCTTTTTTAACATAATTTTTGGTTCACATTACCCAGGCTTTCTATTGGTTTTGAGTCTAAAAAGTAGCCAAAGAAAATGAGCCCAGATAGGCTGCCAGGATAGAAAAAACATACTTTATTTTCCCAAGTATGCATGAATTTTCTGAGATAACTGCTTTCAAGCAATCCTGATCAGAAATTCTTTGTACTTTCCTGAGAGACACAATACAACCCATCCTCAGCAGGTTTACTAGGAATCAGTAGTAAGAACTGGTGGACCAGCTGAAAGAGAACAATTCAGAAACATTTCAGGCTACACAAGGTCAACAAGAGCAGTAGTTGAGTTTGGACAAACCAAGGACATTTGTCTCTGTATTTGGCAAAACTTGTCTAAGCAATTGTATACACTAATGTAAGTACAGTGCATACAAGAGCCTACACAGTGAGTAGAGGCCCCACAGTGCACTCCTTTGTACAAACCAAAGGGAGCAGCAAAGGGAGGCCACAAGGATTTGCTCAGGACTGCAAGACACTGACTCGTATGACCCTATTCAACTGAGCATTTAAGCATGGGCTTGTATTATAAGATATAAATGGAGAAGATGCTTTTTAAAACAAATTATATTTATATGCTTTGTGTTGTGAGAAACATGAACAGCTTGGAAGAGAAAAACCAAACAACAGGCATACAACTGGGCCTCCATTATTTTTCAATTGTTTATCACCATCTTCTTACAACTGAGGTTCACTCCTACACTGATATCTGTTAATGCATGCTGAGCAGTTAATCAACATGCTGGATGCAGGCAATGCATCTCCACCCTCGTGGCTGCTTGGGAGATTTTGGTGTGAGAGCTGGACACTCGCAGATGCCTTCTGCCTTGGAGAATAGTGCAAGGTGAAAGACCTCTAAACAGGTTCATTTTTTTTAAAAAAAAAAAAAAAAAGGCATTACTGAAAACCAAGCTCCACCAGTTCTTAAGCTTTCTTAATTTACATCAACTTCTGGTTAGAATTAGTGAAATTATGAATTCACTGCACATACAATTATTTCCTGAAACATTAGCCTTTTAACCAATTTGGGATTTTTTGTCTGCTTCTCCATTTATTCTTTGTCATCCACTTTCAAGTCTCAGACAGCTTTTGTTCCCCACCATCAGACTAACCCCATAATCCAGTATTAGTTCCTGACCCTGAAACTCCTAACTCTTTTTATACCTGAGGCAGTGATGATATCCCTAGTGCAGCTGTGCTTCTGCATTCAATCAGCCCCCATCTCCTGTGTTCCTTCTCATTTCTCCATTAAAGCCTTTATCAAAGGAGTCTACATTCTACGTTCCTACACTCAACCCAGACATAATTGGCATTTTTGGATACTTTGGGATGTAATTCCAGGTCTCTGAAAGGACAAGTTGATGAGTGTTAAAAATTCAATATTTGAATTACACCTATTGAAAAGAAGGAGGAAAAGATTCATTTGTTCCTAAAAAAAAGAGAAAAAAGATTGCTTTCCTCATCAAAATTATAATGAGACATATCATGCTTAAAAGCAAGTGAATATGGTTGTGTATGTATTGTGTATTTTGCTTTAAAAGGTAAGATGTATTAAAAATAATGATAAAGCATATCTTTACTAAATAGCCCACAAAAATGCGAGTTCCCACGTTTCTGGTATTGGCATTAATTTGAGAATTGTGGGCTAATCCTGATTTTTAAAATTCACCACTCCTCGAAGTTCCTTGTACTTGAACACATCCTCGAGATGGGAAGGCAAAAACAAAACTTTGTGCTGAGGGCAATGAGGCTGAGAAGTTATAAGCCTGTAGCAAAATTTCTTAAGGTACTCATTTTTGTTTACCCAGTGTGGAACTATGACACTTTCTAGCAAACATATTTTTCTACCTGAAATTACACAGATATTCTTCAAATCTCAAAGCTAGATTGAAAGAAAAAAGAAAAAGTTACTGTAGAAATCCCAGTGCAGTCTCAATTACTGAGCCATTACTGTGATTCATACTTAAAAGAATAATAATACAGAGAACAAGAAGGCATTTAACTTCAAGTCAACATGTAAGCGTTCTTATCTGGGTGAATGTGGTCAATGTGTTCCTATCTACATTAGGAAATCCAGCATATATAAATATATAAATAGAACTTATATACAGTATACAGTCACATTCATATAAGCCATAAAATGACAATATGTACAAAAATATTTGCAGCTATGTTTTACACTTTCAGTTCTACAACAGTAATGTAAAGATTTCACTTCTGCTTAAAGGACTTTATCACTTTTCAACTTATGAATTTGTGATGAACATTTACCTTATATATACACACAGTATTGTCAAAAACATGTAAGAAGCAAATAGTCCTCAGAGAAGTTCTGCCTTGTTCATAATAAAAGTTGAGACTTGTTGAAACGTCATTTATCTCATTAGAGAGTAATGTGTATGTCACTGAACATAGTGAGAGACATTCTCCTCTTGATGTAGAAAGACAGTACTTTGATCTGGTCCATAAATAAATGTGGAAATTTTAACACATTTTGGGAGGGCACAGACTGGTCGCCTGACATTTGTCCACAGTATAGACTCACACATAGTAACTATTCTGTTTACCTCAGTCTTAACTGGCAAATCAGTCAAACTGAATGAACACAGGGATAAAAACACTTATTACACAAGGTAACCTTGCAGGCAGGATCAAAAAGCAGAGTAGCATTATTGGCATTATTGTAGCTTCTTTTATCAGTAAGTTAAGTGGTTAAACTGACTCCAAGGATCTGACATCTATGCAGTTTATAGACACATTTGTGAATTCCAGGAGCTGCACACATTCAATATACTTCTCCCAAGATGGAAAAATATTTCTTCTCTTCTTCAGATAATATTCTTCATAGATACTTAGCTCAGATAGAGACATGCTTTTTTTTTAAGCATATGGGGAATTCACTCTAAGCTGTGCAAGAGGAATTAAAGTTTTGAAGAAGAGGTTGTTTTCCTTATGAAGAACACCTGGAAAAATCAAACCTCAGAATGCAGCAGTTTAAAGTGCTTGTATGTGAAAACTAGTGGAGGAAAATCCTGCTGTGTACCACAGATTCAGATAGCACTTTCAGTAATGGTTGGTGCGGTCATCTCTTGCTCCTCACTGTTCTCTGTGGACACATCCTGGGCCTCCTGCTGGTGATAGATATCTTGAACCAGCATCATGTTTGTGTTCTTCCACTCTCTGTATTTCATTGCTGTCAACTTTGGGTCCTCTAGCAGCTGGTTGATTGTGGCCAGGTCATGTTCTTTACACTAGAAAGAGAACAAGTGGTTACTTCTCACAGAAAACCATCAGGATCATTGGCTGTAGTGAAAACACTCTGTGAACAATACACAATCGTGGCCCATAGAGATTCTCAGTTATCCATCCTGGTAACTAATTCCCATTTTTATAATAGATATTATCAAAATGAAGTCCATGGCAGAAATTTCTCCCAAATGAAGGCAAAATTATGCTTTCATGTAGATCTTTTTAAGATTTTTTCAAAAGTTGGTGAAAGAAAAGTCATCTGAAAATTAGTTATGCTATCTCACAAAATGCCAGCATTCACATGCAACTGGAGAAAAAAGTATCTCCTATTGTATTTTAGCCCACTACTGACTTTATCAATAAGTACCTATTGCAAGGGTACATTATAAATGTCTCTTCTCTGAAAGATGGAAAGAAAATAATTTTGGACGTAATCCATATCCTGAGAGTGTAGCTCACTAGTCGTTAGAGCTCATATGGATGTTAATTAATCTACCATCAGCTTCTGTTAACAAATCTAGTCTCAACTCATAGAAAGAAGGAACATAGATCATAAACAGTCACTGATGGTGACTGAGAACTTTGATATCACATTTTCTGTCACAATTCACCATTTTGCTTTTCCAGGCATATTGCCTTTCCTCACAGTAGGTCACAAGATAGAGAAGTCCCACTTATCTGACACAATTTGTTAATTACATGTTAATTGCATAACTCCTCCTGCTTTTGCCTGGCTCCATCTCCTCAATCTCTGCAGGAAAGCAATGTAATAGTTATTGCCATTTCTCCTCCTGCCACCAGATTGACTGGGCCCAACCACACTCTGTGCCAGTGGCTGCCTTGAAAACATTCCCACAAATCCTAGAAACTTCCCAACAGTAGCAATAGGCCCCTCTCACATCTGTATCTGTAAAAATCAGGAAACATCAGGAAATAATAAGAAAAGGGAGTGAGAACAAGGAGAAATAGTAAATAAAGATTATTAGATAGTAGAACTTGCAAAGTTAGTTTTTTCCTTCAACTATTACTTCAATTACCATAACCTCTGTGATGTTTTAGCCACTTCTGCTACTGGAAATGGTGGTTTAAATAGACCCTATCCTAGACCTAGTACCAGTCTTGATAAAAGGACTTCTGGCATAAGTGTAGAGACATTTGCTCTTAGTTTAAGAGGGCAGGACAAGATGAGGAGGAAAGACTACCGGAAAAGGGCAAATTTGGTGGCAAAAAGTCAGGCTATACATTTTTAAGTAATATTAAAAAAAAAATAATAATAATCTGGTTTAAAACTGTAGCATCAAAAGTCCATAATAAGGATTGCACTAAAACCTGAATAAATCACATCTCTCTGACTAGGAGAATTTTAAACAAAGTAAATATGAATTAAGTGAAAAACTTTTTATTTCAAAATTTCCAAAATATGGTTTTCAGTTGTCTCCTGTCTATATGGTAAAAGTATATAATCCCACTGATGCAAAGAACATGCAACTCCCCTACTCCTACTCTCACATTTGCCTTTCAGACAAGCTAACTAAACACTGCTGTGCACAGAATTCTGTTCGCATCTGTGAGAAAATCTCTATGCTATATTTGTCTTGTCAATATTCCAATTTCTTCGTTTGAAGTAATCAAAAAAATTTGACATATTTTGTTACGAACACTCCAAAAATTATTTTACCATATTATATAAGAACATTAGACAAGTCTAAGATTATAAACAATGCTAATCACAATTCATACAATACTCTTGCATTAAATCAATGCAAAATTCCCCTTCTTGCTCATGTGCAGCACTAAGGCTTTTAAGCTTCTACTCAGTATTACACTCAAAATTGATTGTTCCACAAGATCCCACTCTTTTTTTGTACTGGCTGGCTCTCAGCTTTATTGGAGAGGCTCCTCTTGGGGAAAACCTTGCAGTATCCCTCTACATTCAGTATTCTATCTCATAAAATAGGAATACTACTTAACTAACTTTCTGCCAAACGATGGGCTTACTTGCTGATATGGCTACAGTCAGCAGTGTTTCACTTCAGACTCATCAACACTCAGGAAATTTATAGTCATTTCACCAAGCCTGGAAATCTGACAGTATAAGATTCTTAGTGTCCAGCTTGTTTTTCTGGGTGTATGTTCAGCAAATTCAACATAGGCATTCTTTTGAAATAGGTTACACAATTCCTACTTCTAGTGAACACACACGCACACAAAGAACTAAATGACATTACAATTTTGCATTTATTCTTTCTTCTATTTGCAATTTAAAATGCTATGGTTATGTTTTCTGTTTCCCTCAGTACTATTCAGAAGCAGGATTTGAAATCCCATGACAGCGAAAATGATGATGCTGGTGAGTAAACAACCTCATTAATCCCTATTTTCTGGATAGATTTATTGGCCCTTTCATGAAATGTTCTATGAACCCTCCCTCCTCCTCTCCAATTCATGATACATTTCCAACATAAAAGCAGGATGCTTTTGTTATTAAAAATGTTAGCTACAGGAGATCTTTACAATAGCTTTGGCACATCCTGTGCATTCTCAAATAATCACATAAGGAAACCATTTTGGCTCATGGTCTTCCTCTTATATTTTATCATTAATGCACCTTTTTTGCTCTTCCTTCTTAAAGGTTTCTCTGTATAGTACATTTAGCTAAGCTTGCAATTTTTCCAGCTAAATAAAAGGAGTTTTCTTTATTAAATTTTACAAATGGCTAAAACTTCTGCAGAAAGAGTCCCCTCTGAACTATTGTTCTGTTTCCAGTTTAAATTTAACAGAAAGACACAGATTGGTGTTCAGAAATAAAATGGAAAACAATTTCAAACACTAAATCAAGTTCTCTAGAGCTTTAAACAAATATGTAATTAGAATTTGGCTGAAGCTTGCTTCTTTTTTTAGACAAAGTGATTCTTTCTCTGAGGAAAGAAACCTTGGCCCCACTCAGTGACCTCACCTTTAATGTGCTATTCAGCATTCGAATTTTGTGGAGTTTCTCATTAATGGAAGGATTTTTGCTACGTTTGATAAATGACTTCCTAAGCTCTTTCTTGGTTGACGGTCGACGATCACCAATGGGAGACAAGCTTGCTTGTTCTAATGACTTATAAAGCCGCTCCATCTCATCATCGGGGCATTTTCCCTGATCTGCAAAGAAAAGAATAAACTTAACATGAGAATGTGAATATGGCAGCACATAGCAGAATCATTAAGTCTGGCCATCAGAAAGGATTTTAACCAAGCTAAAAAGTAACAGTATTAGAGTCAAAAATAAGGGTAATTTTTAGTGAAGTTCTTAAGGTCATAATTTCTATGTTGTCCCTCATAATAAAGCTTACATTACATTATCATTTTAATCATAGTTTTCAATCTGATGGCTCCAAAGCTATAGCACCATTCTCCACAACAGAAAGAACATTAGAGGAAACACTAGCATGCAGTTGAGAATTAAGTAGGATAAAATAACATAAAACTCAAAGCCAACTCATTTTTTTAGAAGAGAACAACTTAAAATTAATAGGCCAGAGCTGAAAAAAAAAAAAAAAAGTATTATAGACTATACATCTATGGTACATCAATATGTTTATATGTACCCATACCATAGATGGGTGCATATAAACAGAAGGCCATTTTCTGTGAAATACTGCAATTCATTTAGATGATCATGCTGTTATCCCTCAGTCCACATGGCAAGCTTTTGTATTTCAGTATTTCAAATCCAATACTAAAGGAAAATTTTAAAGTTATTGGTGTTTTCAGGATGCTAATGAGTCCCCACTGGGATAACATTCAGTTTTATTTCCCTGGGAATGATGGTGGTAGTTCTTCTTAAATGCATTTCTCATGTGCCAATAGAAATGTCTGTCGTTTCTTCCTTTTTAATTTTTTTTTCTTAATGAAAGTTAAATATCAACTTTTCTAAATTATAATTATCTTAATTTAGTAACAATTTCTGAACAAAGGTAAGAAATTCCTTTACTATGTCATGGTGCAGCAAGAGGTCCCTCTGGAGAAGGATTCCAGGAGCGTCCCTAGAGCCATGCAAGATCCTAAATGCCTTCAGGACTGCGAATGACTGTTGTGCTACCATCACTTTGCCCATACCATGCCATGTCCAAGGACAGCTGCTGTTAAAAACTGATGCATTGAAGTGGGGAGGGGGGAAGGATTAAAGAGTAGAGTAAGAGTAAAAATTTGGTCCTCTCTACATTAGCCTCACCACAGCATTTAAGATCTTGATCCTGCACCCACTAAAGCAAATACAGTTTTGCTGTATAACTTTGCTAAGCTAAAGCTTTGTTTTCCCTGCGTAAGCTGGGAGCACGTCTGCAAGGCAATGCTGTGGATGAACAGCTGACCAGCATGCCAGCACACTCCAGAGTCTGCTTCTTATCTTCTCCGTGTTTTAAGAAGTACAGGGTCCTCCTACACTCCCATTCTTTTAAATATTTAGGTTACAGGAAAGGTTTATGATATGTTACAAATATTTGTCTTCAGTTGTCCGGTCAGAAGGCTGGCCTTCTTTCATTACTTTGTGATTGTAAGGAGGCTGCTGTAACTTGACAAGAACTAAATATAGCTTCCATTACTGGTACAGTGCTGGGGGGTGAAGAAGGAGAACCGTTGTATATTTAACAGGCTGCAGGAAATAGAAAAAAAATGCATTTGTAAGGCATAATACAGAGCAGTAATATTTCCTGAAAACCATCAGCTCCTGCCATGAGGCTCGTAATTATAACTAGCTTCCTGCCTACTTACTTGGGATGAAGCAGCTGTTTGTTTCATTAACCAGCTCCTGCATAGGACTGGCTCAACTGTGCTGCAGACAACACCTATCGGGACTGTACATGGAATCACTTTCAGAGATAAATTGAGCTATATCAAACCCACTTGACAGATATGCAAGAAAAAGTATATACAAAGAGAAAAGAAAATGCTTTGACTCTGTCCAACAAGTTAAACAAAAAAGAGAGTGGAGGGAGGAGACAAGAAGACTTTGCCTGTATAATTCCTGATCTATATATTGCCTGGACTTCTTTGAAGTTTTGTCAAGATGCTACTCAGTATCCTAAGAAAATAGCAAGTGTGATAAAACATCCTTTCGAAACATGCGCCTTGTATTCTACGTACTCTGATATGTCTTACACATTTGTGGATGAAGGTAGGCAGGACGGAAGTACTTGACATGTAAAGAGAAGTGGTAGACCTATAAAGAGAATTAGCACTTCAGACCAAAAAGCCCATCAGGTTTTTCTGGGACAGAAGGCCCTCCACATGATCAGCACTCTGAACTCAACTGCTAACTTCTTTCAAGCTTGAAACCTTGCAAAACTTCCTCCACAGTATCTTATTTTTTACCCACTCTGACTGCTGGAAGGATGGACCAGGTCAGTTAACTTCAAAGGGATAGTGATGGGCAAGACATTGGAGATAAGGAGCAGAAAGAGCATGAATTGAATGGGATTTCAGGAAACAGGGGCTGAGTGAAAACTATAGGTTATGTAAAGCCAGGTAGACTTTTGTCTGCTTTTGTTTTTTGTTTTTTTTTTTTTTAAACACTAACAAGCAATCAGCTTCTCTCACAACAGTTTTTTTTTTAAATAGTATCTTACTATTTTGTCTTGGTATATAAGCAAATACTGTTATTATTTTTTATATAAGCAAATGCTGTTAGTGACAGAGTAAATTGTGATCATAATATTTGATACTCAGAGGACTTTCATCCTAAATATCCCAGAATCCTCTGAGCCAAGCTCAGAAAGCAAAACTCAATGCTTTACAGGCTTGAAAATATCATTAAACATACTAAATTCAATGGCATGAATCTGTAAATGGCAGAGGTCATAGAAAGGTGGGAGAGGCTGTAAATTAACAAGTTCACTAAAATGATCTGTGAGAAAAAAACACTTCTCATCACCCACACATTCTTTATAGTCTATTACAATATTTCACAAAACTCCTAATTGCCAGGAAAGTAAATGAAAAAAGCACTACCTGTGATGTGTTATATGCTTTTTATTTCCCTCATGACAACACCCGAAGAAAAATAAGGTTGGGTAGTGGAGACGAACTAACATCATACAAGTCTTAATCACAGACTGGATGTTTTCTCCAGATTCAAACATTTACAGCACTTCTCCCTCAGCCTTTGTACTGCTTAGTTTTCTTTATGCCTGGAAACAAACCACTGATCTAGCACACAAGTAGTTTTCAGTAAAATAGCAGCACAAATGGCAAACAATTCCTGATATGAAATCTACCCGTAGGCCATACAGTTGAATTGTCACAAAAGATTTGCTTTGTATCACAACGCTTAAAAAAAACAGCATGCAGAAAACACATAATACTCACAATCAGTGTAAAAAATGAAGAAGTTATTTGTGTTGGACGCCCAAACAAAAACGAATCACGCTTTCTCTGAGCTTTGTTAACCTCAGAAGATTTATGTAAGAGATATATTTTGCTAGCAAATATTCTAAAGACGCAGACAGGTCGGGCCCCACTAGCACTTCTCTGACATAAGTTTTCCAGTCTGGTTAAACATCTAATATTAGTCATATTCAAAATCATTTCAAAATATAATACTGCAAGTTATCTCTTCCAGAATAACTCCTCAAGCTAAGCACTTTCTGCCTCAGACATGCAAGTTAAAGTACTTCTTTATCTCACCCTATTTTAAAGCTAAAATATGTGTATTTTTCTTTCAGGACCTGCGGAAAGATTAGGCATAGGAAACAAAGAGTAACAGTGGAAGGATATGGCATATTGTGTTTATTTGTGAGTGCACACCTGCAGCCAAGTGAACATGTGCATTGTCACCTATGAGATGCTTTTCCATAGTCTTTGCAATAGTAACTATTAGCAATTCTATTGAGTAACGCCTCAGAAAGTATTGGCCCCACTGCGCCCTTGTGCAGTGTGCTTCATTATAGCACTTTTTGAAAAATTGTACACCATAGCTCTTCTACCTTTGTCTACAGAATGAAACAGAACCAGAACTGGAAGAGGAAACCAAAGGAAAGTCTTTCTCAAAGATATTTCGACATTCCAGCAAAGGAGATATTCCAGTGTGCTGTGAGGAAAATAAAGTTATTTGGGGCTGGTGAGAACCTCTGACCAGTTGTTTCCAAAGTGGAACATAATTTTGAGGCTTGGTGCCATTTCTCAGAAATTTGCTTCTTACTAAGTAGAAGATATCACAGACCAGAACAAGCTGCCAGGCTCTAAGCACACCTGTTAGTCAACACCTCAGCTTTCAGCTTCAGCCAATTTGCTCGAAGTGGGAGACATCAAGGTACTCAGACTCCCCACGTTGCAGCAGAAACACAGGAATCTGTCTGAAAATTCCTAAGTTAAATGCCTTCCAAGAAGCAGCTGTGAAAAATCTAGCCTATTGCCTCCCAGCAGTAAAGAAATAGAAATTGGCAGTGTTTTGCAGAAGGAACATTTTGCATGGAAAATTGCTTCCAAGAGAACATATCTTACTAACTCTAAACTGAACTCAAGAAATTTAAATACTTGTTCTACCATCCCTTAACACTGAGATCTCACAGAGTTCTGACTGTATATTAATTCTAAGCAAAAAAAAAAAAAAAAAAATGCTGCCTCTAAAAATGCTGCCTCTAAAAATGCTGCTTCTTTGCTACTTGTATCAGCTTCTTGTGGCTGTAACATCCCCCCTTTCTGATTCTGCCAAAACTTTCAATGCCAATGTCACAGTGTTTTGACCCAAACTGGGGAGGCAAAGGAGAAAAATATAACTCCCCTTCCTTCCTCGCCTCACACATAGACATGTGTGTGTAGGGTCTATTCTTCACCATAGTAGTGGACTTCTCAAAAGGAATATGATCACATCATGAGCAAATCACATTTCCCAGAGAACTAGAGAACAGGGGAAAAAAAAAAAAAAAAAGGTAATACTTCATTTATGAGTGAATAACTTAGGCAAACTCCTCACTAGTAAATGCAGAACAGGGCAGGTCAAATTGGGAGAAAAGAACAGGAGAAATACGTTATCAACAATAGTAAGATGCTCTTAGTTATCAAAGTATACCATCATATAAAAGTATACCACTTTTAATAAACCATGATATAACCAGAAACAATGCAAAAAAGTATGTTTTTCCAAGTCCTGAAACTGCAACATCATAATTTTCACTGTAATCTCAAAAGCCTTTCTGATGAGAAGAAAAACAATCATTCAAAAACCATCATTTGTCCACGCATTTATCCTTACTACAGGCAAATTTGTTAGTATGCAGTCAACAAATCAGCAAAGAAAATAAAGCCAATAAAAGATATTTTTTTGAAGTTCTTGCAGCAGAAACAAAGTTCCTCAGAAGATCTGTTCTAGCTATTATTGGCACAATTAAACTCGGGAGGGGAAGAGGATGTCAGTTCTGAAAAACAAGGAAGAGTTGATTGCATCCAGCTCCTATTTAACCAGTTGCTTCCTACAAAATCAATCCCCAAAAATTTCAAATGGTTTGTGAAAATTTTTGAGGCCACTCAGAATATCAGCTCATGCCAGTTATTATACAAGCCACTGTGAAATAAAGTATAGTACCATAAGAATTTCTTGTCGGGATCCATTAAATTCACATGACTGTAAACATAAAATCTGAAGGAAATGAAAGCAAGAAGGATGTTATTACTATAGTAGAATATCCTTAAATACACACAAACACATATTCCTGTTCTCTTGTAGTAACCTTCCAGTTTCTGTTACTTCCTTTTGTTACATGTTTTTTACTTACGTTGATGTGGGCCATAATCAGATTAATTTTTCTTCCAGCAGTTGCCAGAAGAAATACAAAAGATGAAGTTTGGCAGTGTCTAGGCTTCCTGGATGGGACAAGGCCAGTTTCTGGATACAACGCACGTAGTCAGATACTTGTTTGTATTCTTAAATTTTGCTTGTTTGTTTTTCAATTTCTTTATGCTATAGTGAGTTTTGAATCTTTTGACTGTGTATATGTAGCAGGACACAATACTGAAACACTATTTTCCTCACAAAGCAGAAGTAAATATAATATTAATTTCCTTTCAAAAGAAAATAATATTAAGTTTTGTCTTTTCCTGTACTTTTTATTACCCTGATATTTCTTAAAAAACAGAGCAGTGAATAAGGGAAAGTATTTCTAGAACCAAGAAGAATAAGGCTGAAAAGGCCTTCAAAATATCTGGTGCATCTCCTTGTATGTGATACAGTTGTTTAGCAGATTGCATTTAATAGCTTTCATTCAAAAATAATCCTTCATCATTTAGTTGAATCTTTTATTTCTCTCACAGAGATTGGGTCATTTGATATTCTTTCTGAAACTCTTCTGCTTAATCCATAACTCACATTTCTGTACTCTTCTAGTGTTTTCAGTAGAAACTTTTCACACGTCACAGCTGTTCTTCCTCCTAGTTCACAACCTTTCTTATGTTGGTCTCCATTTCTGGCTTTTACCAATAAAAATGCTCCTCACTTCTGGAAAACTTTCACCTCAGCTCTCAGCTGCAAATAACTCTGCATTGGGCCTTTGCTAAGCAGAATGTGGCCACCAAGTATGACAGGTTGTTTCTGTCCGCATGAGGAGAAAGAGAAACACACACACTTGAATGTTGTGGGGTGAGTATATGTTGTGGAGAGATAGAATGCCTAGCTGTTGTGAAAACAGCAATATAGGCTTCACGCAACACGGGACATGTGCTTGCAGGACACGTACCAACACAAGATGAATCCATCTCCTTTTGGACAGGGTCCAAAAACAGGAAAACTTGTGAGAAATGCACTGCTGAGAAGCATCAAACACATAACGCTAGCAAATGCTTGAGATATACTTTCTTCTTGGTTCACTGTAGTAAAACTCTATGGTGTTCTTATTGCTTATGGTAAATACTACAATTTGGCAGCCATGTTTTTACCTCATACTTGAAATTCATCTCTCTGGATTCATACATATACTTATCAACCACCTCAAGGAGAAAATCTTGGGAGATAAGACAAAGAACCAGAATTACAATATTTTTAATGACTTTTGTTTTGAACTGAATTGCTAATTTGTATTAGTCCTTTCTTTCACTTTGTTTTTCTCAAATTGACGAAGCTTAGTTAATCTTCTTGCATCTTTTTTAAAAAATTATTTTTCCAGGGACCATTGCAAGAAAAAACTTCAAAACACTCTTGATCTTCTCTCTATCCCATACAGATATGATAAAAGAAAGAAAAATGCATGTATAGTGCTCCTTCTACTGAATCAACAACAGGTTATGATGCAGACAGTAACTAGCGAGGTTATACAGTTTCCACAGTGAATATCTCATTGCACTGATCTATTTGCTTGGATTCCATCACAGGTCACCAGAGTGGTTACAATGGAAGTGTTCCACAATCAGCAAAAGCATCTGCTAATGGGTAAGCAGATGGAAATATTAATTTCCCTCAAAATATTTTTCAGACAATTAAATCATCTTCCAAATGGCAGCAATGTACCAAAATGTGCCTGGATTTACATTTTAATCCTGATTTTATTAGTAAGTATTTCTGTATCATAGTATGACTTCAGACCATAAAATGTATTTTAAATGATTACAAATCTGTCATGCCAAATCTGTGACCATTCGTGAAAGCACTTGCCAGAACTCTTGTGGTTACTATGTGTTACTAAATTATCATCAACCTGATCATAACTGCAGGATTTCTGAGAATGCCACAGTAATATATTCTAAGCAAAAGTTGAAGTTTACAAGCCTTGCTTAATGAGATCTTTAAGCCACTGTGTCATATGCAGCCTACTCTCGAACAGTCCACAAAGTATGTCTAAATATGGGCTCATATGTAACCTGGAAATATCTCAGTGCACCCAAAGAATGTTTTGCAAAACCATTACATGTTTACATTTAATCCAGAAGACAATGAATTTACTACATATTTCTTTAGGGACATGATTTCTGCCAGGCCCAATCATTTCACTACTTGCAATGCTACACAGCTCAAAAAAGCAAGGCACATTGCCTTACTATGGTAGTAGAGTTATTAAAGTAACAATGACCAATTTTTGCACCATGTTTTTAATTAAGCAATATGTTTCAGCATTAGGATACCAAGGCAGATATCTATATGCTTAAACAAAATCCAGTCTTAACTGACTTTCTAATTCATGATTGCATTGATTACGATCAACTTCAGTGAAATCAATAGGGAATACATGGTAGAACTGAAAGCAATTCCTTTCATTTATAAAGATAGTTTAACATTACTCCATACTCACCACTTCCTACATATGCCATTTTGTTTAGGATGTCACCTCTCTGATGCTCCAAATAGTATCCAGTTCCACCCCTACTTGTGAGACTTTACCAAAATTTAGATTTGATTTTAAGCAATAAAAGACAGACATATTAAAATGTAGAGAGTCAATAAAAATATGTCTATATTAAGATTTTATAGAGGTTATGATTTTACCATTTAGGTAAAATTTGAGAAAAAGTTTATAGGTTCTTATTTAGATACCAGGTTATATATTGGAGAACAGTAAACCAAATGTTATAAATTATGAGTCACTAGAAAACTCTTCAGTACAGCACATAAAGGAAGGAAGTGAAGCCAAGGAGCAGTGGAAGGGGGGAAACAAACTTTCACGTTGTATGGCCCTGCAGACAAAACCACTTCACTCACCTTTGGCTAGTGATTTTTGTCCTGTTGCATCTAGCACGGTTAGGCAATGCATATCTTGAGTCAACGAGGAATTTTGAGATCCACCACTGTGCTGAACCTCATGACTATCCGCCACTTCTCCACAGTCCACTTTTGGTTGCTCCTCAGAGTGAATCTGGACACAGAAAGTTAAAGGTTGATCACCCTCTTCCACAGCAGAGCTGTTAACAAGGTCAAGCCATGACTGCCTCTCAGGATAAACCACTTTGGACACCAAGGAAGATGATGACTCCTGTGAGCTGAAAATGCTTTCAGGAGAGGAAGGAGAACAAGATGCTTCACTTGACAGAGTTGAGGTCAAGGAGGACTTCTGTTGATCCTGTTTTCCACAAACAAACAAGCAAAAAAACAAACAAAGTTATTCCTATTCATTCTTGTACTTAGACTCGACACATTGTAGATATGCAGCTGATATGGTCAGTACCAAAAACAGAAATAATCCCTTCAAATACATATCCAAACAAGCCTAAAGTATGAAAGTCAGTGTCTCATAGATGAGGTGATCAAAACCTGGCACGGCCTTGAAAGAAAAAAGCAAGAAAAAAAGTTCTGAATGCAACATTCAATAGTAGGTTGCACATTCCCTTTCATTCTTTACTATTGTCTCTTCCATTGATACAATCAAGAAAGCAGAAGAGAAGCCCTAAATTACTCTTGAATTGTCTTGAAGCATTCAGTAAATCCACTGAAGCCATGACCAGATATAGTCAGGGATGAGCCTGAGCCATGAACTGCCTTAACTTTCTCAGAACACAAAGTCCCTTCAAGGGGCTAATCATGCAAGCCAAGAAGGCTTAGCAATCCAATGGCAAGTCAATGGTGAAAGGAAAAGGCAACCATGAGGCACAGGGCATGCAAAAGGGGAATGGTACGAGATTTGTGCTGGTCATTCACCTCCCAAAATTTTTCTTTCAGTATGCAATTCTGGGCACAGACCCAATCTTCACTACCTGTTGGTATCAAAATCATATCAAAAACTGTCAGCACATCCTAAGGCTCTCTATCATACTGATCTCAACAATAGTTCATACATCCAGAAGGGGATCAGAGATATCTACAAGTCATCATCAGGAGGCAGGAGATGAGGGAGGGAGGGCTTAAAAGGCACATAATACCACATAAAGAAAGGTTTAGAAAAAGAATGCTCTGAAAAGTATGTAGCTATGCAGACAGGCAGATAGACGCTTAGTTGTTGGTTTTGTTTGTTTTTTTTTTTTTTGGGGGGGGGGCAGAAGGGTTGTTTGTTTTTCTGTCTGTCTCTTTTTCTGCAAGACTCATTAACACTGGTTGTCCTGTACATGTCTAGCCACCAGAAGCACTTTTCTCACACAAGAACTGGTAGTTTCTTCTTGATGACCAACCACAAGTGAAAAGATGAGCCAAGCCACAGGATGGATCAAATGCCTAAATAACAATTCTGCACAAAATATAGTTGTGCAGAAAGGACGTTTCTACACTGTTAATTGTGGTATTGCCAAATCAAAGCTGAAGCCAGGAATTAAGCAAAGTTTAAAGGACAAGAAGTTATTACATAGGTACACAGGAACACACAGGTTCACACACAAATACACAAAAGCAGGTTAATTAACAATAATTAAGCAATGGAAGGGAGATAAAACCTCATACCTCTGCCATTAGCAGAACTACTAGAAATCAAAATGAGATCTAATATGAAAGCCAGATTTCTTGTATCTGCTACTGCAAAAATTTTAGTCATTCAGTGAAAATCAGCTGCTGCTGACGAACGTCAAAATCAGAATATCAGACTTGTAAGTGCACAAGTCTTGAGCGTTTACATACATATGTAGTATGTCTCTAAGGATTAAAACAGATGCTAACTAAGCTAACAGTACTGAAAATTACTGAAATGGTGTTGCTACGGAAACCTGGACAAGATGAAAACACAATAAAGGGAATAGTCTGGAATATCTATTAATAACCACCACCAGGTAAACTGGAAACAAGAAGTATTCATATAAACAAAGAGGGACCACATTTTGGCATTATGCTATGTAAACCTCTGCAATTCAATGTTGCTACAGCATATACTATTTCCTTTTTATGTCAAAAATGCAAATGGGGTTATTTTCCTATATTTTTATGGGAAAATAAATATTTTATAGCTATTCATACAGATAACTACTGAGCTACTAATCAGAAAATGAGGAGAACTGATATCAGGTTGTGCTCATCATTTGTTTGCTCTTTCTTCACTTTCGTACATTTTCAAAGTCATCCGTGCAACACTTTGTTTCAGTTAACTATTTGTTTTTCAAAAGAAAACCTTCACAGATGTGCCATAAAGAAAAGGACAGTAAGGTGCTATCCTTAACTACAACTAGCAGGGACAAAAGTGCCCTTGTGACCTGAAGCATTTCATCTGTTTCAGAACTCCTATGGAGAAGGCAAACAGTTGAACTATTAGCACAGACAAGCAGAACAACTGAAAAATAAAATCCACACACACACATGGTGTTGATTAGTCTAATTTCAATTGTTCAAAGGCAGAAAAATAATATGCTGGATCTCAACTGCATTTTTCTGGCATTTTTCCATGCAATAGAAACTGCAATTGAGATGAAAATGGTATCTCACTGAATGGAATGTATTTTTTTTTTTTTCTTTTTCATTCAGGAAAGATTTGGGTGACAGTAAAGAAAATTACCAGAATATGTTTCTCTTTCTCTCCATATGTGAGTGTAGGTATTTTATTTTTCTTGGCATGACCAATGTTTATCTAAGCTACTAAAGTGATTCCCTTCGAAGACTTGCAGATATAAAAATAAATCTCCATTTGGGGACATTCTAAAAAGCAGATGTTTGAGCCAACAGATTGTTAGGATTTTCCTGGGCATTTTTTTTAGAGAAAAATTATCTCCATGAAACATGGAGATCCACACTTTTGGAGCTACTGCAGTCTGTTAGCTTAACATGGCTGCTGGTTTTTGAGCATTAAATTCATTCACCTGCAGTGAAATTAATGCAAATGGTCAGTAAGTCCTTTGTCTTACAGATACTAAAATGGTTTTCACTTGCTTTTTTCTTCAAAAGTACCTAGAAGCACTGATGAACGTAGATTTGTGCTCAATACTGTTTGTTTTTGAACAGTCAAAATACTTTGAAGTAGCAGAGATTAGAAGAGCAACTAAAACTTCATGCCATAAAATGTACAGTAGAGTAAAATGTTTGTTGCTTTAACAAATAACAGAACTTGCATCTGGATCTCTATTAGTTTCCAGATTAATACTTTGCAATCTGGAACTGATCTCAAGAAATTTGGAGACCTTTTTAATTGGGACAATAGGGACTCAATTTTCAAACATATCTATAGCTTCTAAATCCTATTTTTCAAAAAGTGTTTGGCACTTTGGGAGGCAAAAGTACATCCCTCCCTCAATAAAAAAGGGCAATAAGCCCCAGCCAAGAGCCTAGAACAATGCTAGTCTGAATTTCCAAGATAAGCGTCTCTTTCAGTAGCAAACTGAAAAGATTCAAGTAGGCATCCCAAAGGACGTGGACGTATAATACCATATATAATATCATAATGTTATCTCAAGTCTATCAAGTGCTCAGAAACTCATAGCTTGATTCAAAAACTCTACAGTGAATGTACTGTACAGAAGTGTGTAACCAGGTTCTGCAAATCCACCAAGAGCTCTATCCTTAAAATTGACTTCCCAGTAAAATCTATGCTTTCCCAATCTTTCCAGTGGTCTTTTTGTTCCAGCAGCTGTCAGGTGTAAGAAAGGTGAAATTCAGAATATAAAGGGGACTCTGATTTGCGATCAGTTCAGCTCCTTGGATACACCTAAGTGTTCCCTTCACACCATTATTGCAATCTGAGCATAGGGCAGGGCAGTGGCATCTTCTAGGAGGAGAAGATGACCAGGCTAATGTGCTTAGCAGACACTTTTGCCCATAGTGGACTTGACTTTACAACAGGTATGAGGAGAAGGGAAGGCAGCTCAGAAAGGAAAAAGCTGGAGGGAAGATAAGCTGCATGATGAAAAACTGAGGAAGCAGGATCCTTCAGCATCTGCCCTCCTGCTGAAATCTTGAGGCCAGCCTTCTCTCCTGCCATACCCCCCCCCTCCCCAGAAGAGCATATGGTTGGAAGACAAACAGAGATTGTATCTGCAGCAACAGACTGACATGCAGCAGGAAACCAGAATAACAGAAAACCACAAAATAGCAGCTGTTTAATCTCATCATCTGGAAAAATGCAGGCATTCACTGTGGGGTGAGCAGAAGGGAAAGATATCTATAGGCACTTAGAGGCAAGCCACTGAGGTATAAAATTCAAGATGCTTCATTATCAGCCTTTGGCCCAAAATAACTCTTGGAGTCACATTGCCAAGGTTCCTATTTTCTCTGATATTTATAGCCACTCAGACGCATTTGACTTTCAGTTAATGCAGCCAGAAAAGAACAATATTTTATACAGCAGAGAACACCACACATCCCCCCAGTGCCAGGTGGATAGTTTCACAGCCATTAACATTAAACAACTGTTCTCTGAGAGGAAGTGAACACGGACTTATCTAACTGGAACAGAAGGGGGCAAATAGGTGATGGTGTGACATACCCACTCAAGAGCCAACTGAAAAATACCCAACAGGCAGCTCAGTACCATCACCACTCCTTTCATTACTGACTGGGACCATGCAAGCTTCAAGAGATGAGCTATATTCTTCACTTTCTCCACTGTCCCTGTGAGCACCTCAGCTACTGTCATTTCAGTGTACCCAGAGAGGATCCTGTACTGGACCAATGAGGTAATGGGCACTTCCTCTTTAGAAGGTACAAAACATATTTTTATATCAAGTATATTATTACCATGTACTTGAGGTTCCCTTTCAACAAGAGAGGGAAAGGCTTGAACTAAGGATCCGTATTTCAGGTGCACTACCAGCTCTGTGTTAGTCATTTCTAAACACAAATTAAGCAAAATATATAAATCAAAATGAGAACATTGTGGAAAGCAACAATATAGAAACAAGATTAACCAGTCAGTAGCTGGTTAGTAACTAAGTAGGTCAATTTGACTGGGCTCATGAAGGTGCATACCAGACAAATGGTCCATAGAAAGAGAGAAAAACAGCACACATTTTTGAAGGATGCTTTTTTTCTTTGTTTATAGTCTTTTTCAGAGGTATAGGATGGATTTTATATCACTGTGAGCAGATACTACTGTCCTTTCACTTCCTTTTACTTTTCTGCTGCATGTGGAGCTCCAAATTCAGTAGTTTTAAGAGTAACTCAAATAAATAAATACAAATCTGTTGGATGATAACAGCAGAGGTTACAATAAATAAATAAATAAATAAATAATAAAAGATTAGAAAAGAATAGCATGAAAAAATAGGTTATGGTAGAGTGTTAAACTTTGCAAAGGAAAGACGCACACTGTTTATGAGGTAGAGTGACACCTTCCTCTCTAAAGGAGGTATGTCCTCACCCGCAGAAGCTTGTTCTTTCATGCATGAGGCTGTCAGTGGAGGAGGCTAGAATAACTGCAAGCTCTGTCATAGGGTGGGTGGTGAGGTAATGCATCCATATTTCACAGGCAAAAATGAACATTTACTGCTCCCGCTTGAGGTTATTAGGTGAACATACACCTTCTGAAAAGAGATTTGTTCCAACTGGTTAGCAACTGGAAACAAGCTAATCACTGTACGACTTACCAAAGGAGGAGGTGCTGGCTGGGATGTGTAGGGGGGAGGTGGCGTGTCTGTTATTTCTGGATCATCATGCTCACTTTCACTGTAACATTCTGGGACAGACATGGAAAAATGAACAGAAACTGTTAGACTCATGTATTCCTTGCAGCACTCTGTAAATATCACAATATAACACTTTTAGGTGTGAGGACCACACCATTAACATACCAGTGTCTCCTACTTTCAAACTTTACCACCTGGGGTAATGCTCCACTACTTCATGGCACCTTTTTTTTTTTTTTCTCTTTCTAAAGAGAATCATATTTACTATGACAGGAAATACTCGGTGACACCGCTATAGATAGTTTTAAAGGGGATTGTAAGGGGGCTGTTTTGCTTGGAGGTTTTTTGGGGTTTTTTTTGGAAAAAAAATTTAAAAGAAGGCTACACTGTTCATTACAAAATTTTTGGAGACCTTTGGCAAATAGTAGGTTCTGCCCCTTAATCTCTCTAACCAGTAAACTGTCCTGAGAAGTCAACAGGCCTGGTATTTTGGCTGAGATTTCCAAAACCAGATTGTTTGCATGGTACTTAGGAAAGCAATAAGAATTGAGCAGTCATGTCTGTGCCACCACGCAGTAGCTCACATAGGCACACGCACCATGTGGAACAGTAGTCCTATTTGTAGAGCTAGTGATAAAAGTAAACACATTAGTATTACAAGCTTCCTTTTATTTATTTATTTGTTTGTTTGTTTGTTTTCATGAAAAGCAAGCTTGATGGAGCCCCAGTATCATTTGACACAGGGCAGTCAAGTTATTATTTAACTACCTGGGAAGCACATCTTCCAGCATTTCTGAAGTGCTTTTTAATGCGGATTAGAAAAAGAAATGTGATAACTTGACAGTTGATAAAATGAGACGGACAAAACGGGGAGGCAGTAAATTGCAGGTTCCTATTTCAAGAGCCTGTCCGCAACCATGGGACAAAATCACTTCCCCTCCACTAAACCTCCCAGCATATGTTGTCTCTTCAGATCAAGTCTTTACAGGAGGAGGTTTCTGCAGTTTTGCTGGTCCTTGAGTCACGCTCGACAGAGCTCAAGCTTATCCTGGTGAGGGGGGCACGGAGCTGGGGACGTGCCTGTGTCTAGCAAGGCCAGCGTGAGCAAGTGCAGAGTGTCACACGTGCAGAGCCTGCCCTGCGGTTTCCACTGGAGCCACGCTCTCCGCTTCCTCTGCACGGGCCGCACACAGCCGGTGGGTGCTCTCAAAGAGCAACTCCATCTGCCCGTTGGAAATAATGCCTCGGCCCTCCCTCCCCCAAAGCAAGAGCTGCTTATAGCGAAAAAGCATTTTGTAAGAGCTGGACTTCTTGGGTTTGAATCAGCAGAAAGTAGCGCTGCATATTCCATGAGTGAACACTTAAGCTTATCACATCTTTTAGCTAAATTCATGCCTTCACACTTTCTTTCCGTGCTGCAGCTCTCATAACCACACTGTGAGGGGGATAAAAAGTATAAAAGATAACTATCTCACAGATGAGAGAGAGGTTTATAAGATCCCAGCAAAGTGTAACTTCAGGAGATTCATTATTTTTTGAATAATTGATACATGTTTATTCCCAGTATTATTTTCAGCTTTTAATGGCATAACTGCTATTCAGCTTAGTGAAAATATGTGCTGGCACCTCTTAGCATAAAGGACTGAGACTGACTATAGTTAGGCTTGTATCAAATTCAATGGTTCTATTAACACACTCCAAGTTCAGAACTTATTGCTTCTATAGCTCTCCTTTTTTTTCTTCTTTTTTCTGAGCAAAGAACTGAAAAAGATTCAACAGCCCTTTCTGATACTCTAACTAGGCTAACAGGAGTGCTGAAGGCAGAGAAAGAAAATGAAAATACAAGAACTGCCACAATGAGAGCTAAGACAAAAATGACTATGGGTCTTGGTGACATTTCTCTGATGGGTAGCGATGCCCTGGTAAGGCATGTCCACCTGGGCATGCTAATTGGTAAGTGATCCCATGCTCTAGCTTGCTGCTGGAGTATCTGTTAAAAGAGAAGTAGAAAGAAAAGCAGGTGCATGGCATCAGAATCAGAGGATATTTTCCTGAAGGAGAAGATAGGCAGTCAGCTTCAAAAGCTTAAGAAATCTTGGTTGTATTATGCTTATTCCTGGGTAATTAAATAAACTGCTGCAAAGGTTGCTTGAGTAGATTATTTTGTCTCTCTTGTATTCTTTCATTCCTTCTTTCTTTCTTTCTGAAGCTTAGTTGGCTGATATTCTTAAATCAGATTTTAAGCTCTTAACTTAGCCAAGACAAACAACATGTTACATTTTCTGAGGTTAAAAAAAAGTTTATTTCTATGTATAGTATTTTGACAGTCATTAACTTTAATCAATCTCCTCTTTTGTGTAAACATGGAAAACATTTTTGGACACTTCTTTACCAAGTATGATTATCTTGCAATTATTGCAACACAGCCTAGTATTCTGCAAAGCCCTCCATACTAATTATCTCAAATTGTTCTGATATAACTGAGTTGCAAAAGGCCATGGACATTTTGAAGGAGTCTAGAGAAATAGGAGTTAACGTGTTTCCTGACAAGAAATGAAGATAAATGATGAAATGAAGAAAGAAAAAAAAAACTGATACATGTTGAATCACCCAAAATTAGTGATATCTACGTTTGTTTGTCTTTAAGGGCAGAGGATACATGGAGTCAGATCAGACAAATCAATAATGGCATTACATGTCCGAAGATGAACATAAACTACACTCTTACTCTGCAAAGAATTGTAGAAAGTTGTACAGCTTTCAACAAAAAGTTGTAGAAAAGATATGAAAAGAGCCTTAGACAAAACAGGCTGCTTCACCTAAGTGTTGGGACCAGTCTAAATACCAGTTTCTTCAGAATCTGAGCAGTTCTAAAAAAAAAAGCACTGAATCAACACTCCTAAAATGGAGAGTTAAAATGCTATAAGAGGTAACATATTCCCAGGTTTGCTAAGGAGGGCAGTTCACAGAATTATCTATTTGTCCTCAACCCATGCTTTTGATTTGAATGCAGATATCAACCTCCAAAAAGATTCTATTACACCCATGTGCTTTTAAAACTAGTTATTCCACAATTAAGTCTTTTTGGCTTGCCTGTAAAGGAAACTGCACACTTCAGCATCTCTGCAGACATTGCTGCTCTCGGAACCCCCAGAACTGGAGCAGACATTAGGAACACATCTACATTGCACAAGGCATTCCCAAGCTAGTAAGTTCTCAGCTTATCACACAACTCCTGTAATACATCTTACTAACTCAAAAGCCAGGTAGTACAGCTGTTTCTCTTCACACTTTGTGAGCTTAGCCAGCCAGAAATCTGCCAGATGGTAGCTACATATCTGTCAGAAAATCACTGAGGGTCTCTATAAGCTGCTCACCAGTGTTTGTTTAACTATGACTAGCCTCTTTTGAGTCTGTGGTGCCTCAGAGCTAGCAGGTAAACAAAGTTATTAATTAAAACAAAGAAAATGTGACAAAAATTCAGTCCAGCAATAACTGTGGCATGCAAAAAAGCATTATGTGGATACAGATTAAAAATATGATTATAAACATACCTTCTTCATTCTTCCCATTGGATGCCTGAGGATCTACAGCCATTCCCAGCTTACTTAGCCACCTGTGTTAGAAACAGAAGGAATATATTGTTGGAGATACTTGCATTCTGTTCTGAAAGAGTTTTGCTCTTTTCAGTTGTCTCTATATTCCTTATTCAGTTAACCTGAAGTCTAAATCTCAGAGTTTATTTCTTAGAGCACCTTTTAGAAAGACATCAGTCATCTGAATGCTAATATTCCCATTCCTTGTAAAAACTGTAGATGACAGTTGTCCTTAGAAATAGAAATGCTCTAGGCAGCTTCCAGGTCCATCTTGTAATAGACAAGATGGACAATCAGCCAGCTGGTAAAACTACCTAGAATTTTCTTTTTCTAAACTGGTTCCATATGTTCATTTCTGAAACAGTGATATAATCAAGTACTTTAGCAAACTATCCGTTCTTGTCAGCTATATAGCCTTTGTCATCTTCTCAGACTGCATGTGGTAAGCTGGGACTAGTTGACTGGACTGTGATGCTTTTCTAATCCTCAGAAAAGCAGTGCTGATAACTAAGGAGTCACATTCGTGGAAACTAAAAGTATTTGTGCTGTAACAAAACGTCACTGGCTTAGTCCTGCTATCAAGGCATCATCTCTCAGATGAGATGAAGCAAGAGCAGTAAGAGCTATTAAAGTGATGTTAGTTGTCCTGGTCAAAGCTATTAGAGAACAATATAAGGACAGCCGTATAAACTCAACTTTCTAACCATTATGCATGACTTTCTTCAAATCCCTGTGCACTTTTGTTTTTACTAAGTCTTACTTCCTGTGTTTCTTTTGAACTATTAACGGTTTTTCACTTCTCTTCCTAGGTGGCCACATTTTTGCAATGCTTGAAACAATCCCTGGATATACTTTTTGTATTGTGTATTTGCTTATAGGTCATTTATCCAGGTTTTAAGAAACTAACAACTGAAAAACTTTAGACCTTCAAATAAAACTCAAGGACTAAATACAGATCATGAGAAGGAGGCCACGGATTAAGAATCATAACTCTGAGAAGTGATGCATCTATTACATCTGATCTTTTTCCTGCTGAAGTAATGGGAAACTTGCCAGTTAGATCAGCATCAATATAACTGGATTTTCAGTCTGTAGTATGAATAATAGAAGCACATAATAATTCAAGAAAACGAAGTGTCATTCCTGTAAGAGAGGGCTTATTATTGGAAAGAATTTCTATTTCAAAAGAAATTCTTTTGAAATTCTGCGTAAAAGTCAAGAAAAGGTAAATGCATGCATCTAGTGAGCACAAATTTGCCTTTCATGTGGGCATGACCATGACAAATTCATGGTAAATTAACAAAGTAAATGACTATATTAATAAGCCTGCTCTTGTTTTAACAGATATATGCATGAGGAGTTACAAAAGGTCATGACCTATTGAAAATTTACGCACAAAAGCAAATTGACACACGCGAATGCCCCAGTGAGTTCAGTGGAAGCTCTTGCATGCATAAGTATTTGAAGGACCACAGCCAAGAGAACAGATGTCTTTTAGTCTGTTTTGATATATGCGTGAGTATGTGTATGCTTTATCTATTAAAAGTACGTGTTTTATATTTGGCCAAATAAAACATCATTGGGTACAATGCTGAGGAATTAGTATGAGGGAAGTATAGTGCAAGTTACTCTTAACACTAGGCCACCTAGCTTTAAGCCAAAATGAAATTTACTAAAAAAGCAGAGTTTAAAGAAAATCATTCTCAGGGTATAAAAGCAACTGCATAGATTTCAACCACTCACTCACGTGAGACTAAACATTTCAAAAGTATCATTAAGTCTCTGAAAATCTCCAGCTGGGCTCCAAAATGAATGTTAACAGTTATATGTCCTCTATTAGCTCTACTTTTTCCTCTTCCTTCTCCTTATACCCTCCTCACATGTCTCAACAACGGTTGCTACAGAAATACTATTGCCCAGTCATTCCTCTTTTTCCGTGCTCTCAGCCCATCTGCATTAAGAACTTCTCACTCCGCTCCGGAGCCCTGTGAATAAATGTAGCTATACAAAAAAGGATGGTTATTTCCTCATCACCATGCTCGGTGCTTCTCCAAGTTTCAGAGGGCACAATATTGTTATATGTATGTATCTATAGAATATAGATTTATAAAAGTACTTATCCACATCCATAGCTATTTCAAAAGACCACGTACGTTCTCACCTCTCTCCTTTTCTTTTGTAGTAAATATTTGTTAAGTCTTGTACTTATAAATGGAAAGAAGGATCTCGTAGAGGAGACCCTAACACCTAAGTAACACCCGCGTAAAAATAAAAATCCTGACCTTACTAACATAGAAACTCTCTTGTCCTTAAACTGTGTTGCTTTGTATTTGAGTTTTGACCATTTAATGCATTGTGAACAGCCTACAATTTGAAGTGGTAAAGACAGAGATATCTATCTTGTGTATATAAATCAGCAAAAACTAGCAAGAAAAATAGCAAATAAGATCTGTTTCTAGTAGCTCAGTGGTGTCTAGAATGGCAAAACTCATACTCAATTCTACTTTCCTTCATTAAGAACCACTTGAACAAATTGTTGTTCCTATTGACACTTGTGAAAAGAATGCTCCTGGCACAAGGATCATTTAACTGCAGCATATCTTGACAGAGAAGTAAATGCTTATTTACATGAAAGAAACAACTCTTCAAGTATCTTCTTAGGTCTTTTCTGGAATAAAAGGATATTGTGCTTTTCTCTCTTCTTCCCTTATTCCTCCCAAGCTGACGAACTTGCTATTAAGTTTGACACTTTTATAATTGGAAGGGATTTATACTTGCAAATGCACGGAAGACTAATATCAAAATTAGGCAAATCAAAAGATTCTGATTTTGACTTTAATTAGTAAAAAAATACTCCATTTCCAATATCTTACAGAAAAATATTCAAGTTGCAAAAACATCCACAGCTAGAATAAGCTGTTCAACTTGAATTAGAAGTAGCTACTTTCTGTATAATAACCAGAAGAAGAAGAAAAAAGAAAGATTTAGTACGTAACTCCAAGAATAACTTCGTCAACAACTGCTTGACAGTGAAAGAATGAACTTTCAAAAACTGAGTGTTCTAAGACATGAGACAGGATGAAACATGGTCATTCACTTTTACTTACGTGTTCATTTCCAGAACATTTTCTGCTGCAAAATAAAATGTCTTGATCTGTGGGTGGCTGATCTTAATAGCACTTTAAGAAAAGAAAAATAAAAGATGTATGAAGAAAACTATTTTACATAAGAAAAAAAGTAGCTGAATGAATTATTTAAAATAATTAATCACCTCCCTATATTAACCTGGATCGGCTTATCCATCCAAATACTTCTTTCCTTAAAACACAAGTCTATTTTTGGCTTATTTCGTAGTATAAACATTATACAAAGGGTATAAAGTACAGATACAAAAAAGAAGGAATAAGGAATAAAACAAAGACTTTCAAAATCCACTTTGTACCCACATCTCTAATACTATGTACCGTTTGCTTCCTTCATTTCAGATAAATTAAATCTGAAAAATTTAAATCTGAATCTGAATAAATTAAATCTGAAAAATTAAATCTGAAACAAACAGAAATGAAGTACTCCTTCACACACCAATAGCTATATCCTGCAGCTTCAACTCAGGACATTATTGATGATGTTAATCAATTGAAATTGGTGAAAAAGAAATCCACTACAAGATGATAAATACATAGGCCTACTTATTGCTCAAGAAATTTTTGATAAGTAATTTTTCCAGATTGTAGAGATTTTGTTTAAATAAATAACTAAATATTTTAAATACTCTTCTACTCTTTGCAGTACATCTTTGCTTTTGGACGTTTTGGGAAAAGATGATACTAGGCAAGATAATCTGCTCCAGTGTGTTTGTTCTTAATACTGCCTTGAGAGGGAAGAAACAATTTTGGAAGAACCTTTTCAATTTAAATAACAACCAATATACAAAACTCCATATCTTCTCATATCCAGGAATCCACCTTTCATCCTTGTATCCTTTTGCTACAGCCTTCTACCAAAGTACAGCTGAGACTCTCTTAAGTGAAGGGAAATTAGGGTCCAAAGAGATGAGGGCTGTTTTAAGCAGTTTAAAAGTTAACAGTATCAAAGTTAACAGATTGAGTGAGCTGGGCCTGTTTTCTCTGGAGAAGAGAAGGCTGAGAGAGGATCGGATTAATGTGTATAAGTTCAGGAAGGGAGAAAGCAGGGAGGAAGGGGACAAGCTGCTTTCATTGGTGGCCAGGGATAGGACGAGGGGTAATGGCCATAAGCTGGAGCACAGGAAGTTCCATCTCCAGGTGAGGAGCAACTTCTTTACTGTTAGGGTGACAGGGCAGTGGAACAGGCTGCCCAGGGGGGTTGTGGAGTCTCCTTCTCTGGAGGTCTTCAAAACCCGCCTGGATGCCACCCTGTGCCACATGCTCTAGGTGTGCCTGCTTGAGCAGGAAGGTTGGACTAGATGATCTCTAGAGGTCCCTTCCAACCTTGAATATTCTGTGATTCTGTGAATTACATTTCATTGAAGTACAAAAAATTAATTGATATCGGACTCCCTACTCCTTCCACATTTAAAAAGCATCAACAACAAACAATGAATGATAGAAACTGAAACTATCCAATTGAAATGTTCTGGCAATGCATAACATAAGAAAGGTTTTAATTTTCCTTTGCTGCCTGACAGATTTCTCATGACTGATCACTTCTTATGGTAGGTATGTCACTTCAATAGTAAGACAGCATACATTGCTTTTGAATTATGTTTTTCAAGCATTGATATGCACTTTATCCTGGAAATAGTCAAAAAAAATCTTAATCTATAGTGATTATAACCAGAAAAATAATCTTTCCAGTTCATCAACATCTGTCTTGATCTGCAGACTCCCAACCCCAATATGTTTTTTATAACAATAATCACATTTCTGGTGACATACAGCCATACATTAACCTGTTGCTCTCAACATCACACTACACTCCAGCTGAGTATCTACCAGTAAGACTTTTCAGAATCTTTAAAATGTAGTCTTCAATCTTAAGATTGTTTGGCTTCCCTTTTCTTGTTCCTTGTCCTGTGGAAGTATAGAGTATTTGAATGAAGAAGCCCCAGTCAGTCCTTGTAAGTCTCCTGACTTGCTTCACCCGAAGTGTGTGATGAGCGAGTGCTTTCTTCCTAGTCACTGATGGCCAGGAGCAACAGATGTCAATGACAACACTTATTCCTGGTTTTGTGTTGTGTGTCCCAACAGTCTTTCAACTGAGAAAACCAAATGGAGCTCGCCATATTCAAAACCATTTTCTTTGAGAACTCAAGCCCACAATTAATTTCAGGAATGCCTACGACTAACCTCAGCACAAGGACAAAGCAGAAGAAATAAAGCTTTCTCTTAGATCTAGAATAAAAAAAAAAATGTTGAGCCTTTTTAACTTGGAACAACAGCAATATCACTCCAAACATTTGAAGTGTACTCAGAAGCAGCTGGAAGCTAATATGGAGGTTGGAGAGAATATTTTGAAATGTTTATACTTTTAAACAAAGCTGTCATTCCCTGTGCAACTGGAGCTTTTAAGTACAGCCCAAAGTCAGTCGCACCACGTCAGTCTAAAGAACAAACTCTGCTCAGTGGGAAGCAGTATCATTTGACCTAAGAGAAGGCATCTAAGATAGGCTCGTTCCTATTTGTCAATAGTGAATAAAGAAAATTTGTATTTGAGAATGATTTTTTTGGGGGGGGGGATTGTCATTTTAACAGACTATAGCAACATATCTGGCAGGGAATTCTCAAAAAATATTTTGAAGTGTTTTTTTCCTTCAGTAACTCAATTAATATCCGATTATTCATATTAAAGAAAAGCTCCCCACAGCCTCATTGGCAGACATTACAGAGACTTAAGTCTTTTCAACCTTGTAGAAATTTTTATTCATGCAAACCAGGGCCAAGTGACAAACTTACTGCTTTTTTTTGCATTCAGTTGCTCGATCCACACTGAAATCTGGAAGTCTGATAAATCCTTCTGCTTTTTCAGCCTGAAAAAAAAAAAAAAAAAATCACCTCATCAACCAATTTTAAGCACTGGAGTCTTTTAGCGTTTAATATTTCAGCATGTGTTTTTGACAGCTCTTTATAGTGTGTAAATAAACTCTCAAATATATCTGTCTCTCATGGAGATAAATTCACATTTTTTTTTGTTGATATAGAGTCCTACCACAAGTACTCATGCATACAATGGACGATAGAAAGCCACCACCTCTGTCTTTGCAAAAGGAGTAGTGTAAGCACAGTATTTGCTGTATTCTTTCAAATATCAAAGAAATTAGAAGGATTAGAAGATTGGAAGAAGAAGGCTCTTCATCCCATAGATAATATGGAGGTAAATTCCCCCTCTTTTCCATTCCAAAGCATTTGCATCAGAGCACCCTTATTAACGACTCATGAATAGACAAAAGCCCCTGAAACTGTCAAGGCAAGATTTAAGTTTGGTTCAAACAAGGACTAAAAGCAGTGAGAAGGTGGAAGAATCCAATTGCTGTGTAGCAGTTACTGATCACAAAGTATACTTCAGCAGAAAGATCATCCAGGCTTTGTGCACATACTATGGAAAATGAAATTACTAAACTCCTCAAAATAAAAGCCTTCCAAAAGAGATTAGCAACAAAATCAGAAACAGTAAGGACTATATCATTAGATCATCTTTTCAGATCTGGCTTTCACACAAAAGCTCAGAGGAGCAAGTATTTGATCCATGACATTATACACAGTGCATATATGTCATACAGATGCATGACAGAGAAGATGATGTTCTACATATATTTGAAAAATACATGCCTGGTTTACCAGACTGCTAGTGCCAGCTACTCTAGCTAGCAGATTTGTGGGCATGGTACAATTTGATCAAGGAAAAATGTCTTACAAGAGCCCCTGTTCCATGAATGGGGATATTTTTTTCCCATAAATTCTTCTCTTGAGAGAGGCTGGAAAAGTAAATTGTCAGAGTGGACTTCTACGCTGGACTAGTAGCTATCCCAACCTATTCCATTTAACAAAAAGGGAATGGACATTTTGTTAATGTCATTTTAGAAGAGAAAGACAACTGAGTTTGCTTTCTGCAGTCAGTACTCAGGTACCGATATGAAAAAAAAAAAAAAAAAAAAAAAAAAAAAAAAAAAAAAAAAGAGGTTTCACAACAGGAAGTTCTGTCAGTTTGCTAGTGGCTAGTCTGGCAAGTGATACGCACCCTCAGTGATTTTGCAACAAAGGGAATTCAAACTGAACTAAATCCAACACAGAGGTGGAGAAGAGTCTCTCCTATATAACAGCTAATACTGAACAGCTCATAGGTCCATATGTGAGGCTGCCTCCACATCACTGCTTGAAAAATTGCCACTGCCAAGGGACAATCCTTGGTAGCTGAGCTCCAGCAGTACCAACCTATCCCAAGTGTCTTTGGTGATCCAAATTATCACTCCCACTCAATATTTGCAGACATGGTTCAATAGATAACAAAGCTAGGACATTTCAAGTAGAGAGTTCAGCTCTGTTTCTGGAGGGAAGAGAGTTTAATGAGTATGGACATCACTATTCCTTGTTAGCTGGACTCTGACAGAAAGTGGTACCAGAAAAACTGATGTTATTAATTAGCCTCAGACCCCTGCTGTCTGTAGTTGTCTATGCTTTTCCATACTGTATCTATTTTCACCCACATGGTCTTTCTGTTCAGACAGAAGTGACTCCAAAGAGAAGCAATAGTATCGCATATAATAAGATGAAAGGTTGTGTTTTCCAAAAGATGGAAAATATTAACTCCTGAATTGCTTCTTTATTCAGACTCTACTCCAGCTACATTAAAATTCTGAAAACGTACACTCAGTTACAGCAGGTAAAATACAAAAAACAATTACAATGAGTGAGGCTAGAAAGAAGATGACTGACAGCATCTCAAGTCACATTACGCATGAATACGAAAAGAGTATGAAAAGATGCTCATCGAGTCAAATCTTACCGATTTATATTTTCAACATTAAAGCTCAGAGAATTGAAATAATGATATAGGATGGATATTTCAATGGATGACTTCCCAGCAGCTCTACATATCTGTTCTTTGGTATATAGCAAATGGCAGTGCAACTATCACTCCTCCAGTTTACATGTATTAAATATTTATAGAAGTAGTTTATATTTTGCATCATTATCAGTAAATGGTTTTGGTAGCTCCAGGACAAAAAAACAGCAGTGGATTTTGTTTCCTTTCAATATAGAAATATAGTGATATTCACCAGCATCTGAGTTGAAAAAGCTTTGATTTTACAACCTTGAGGTAAATATGACATTTAACACACTGAAAGTGTATAGAAGTCCTAAATATCTTATTTTCTCTGAAATGTTCTCATTAATATTAATATTTTAAATTGCTTTAATTAATAAATTAAATATTTACTACATTGTTTTAACAATATTAGATATGCTGTTAACTCATACATTTCAGTCAAGTTTCCTTCAGATCTTGCTGCAATGTCATAAAACAGCCCTAAAAACTTAGATCAGAAGAACTTCGAGATGCTTCCTACTTAGTCATAATGTTTAAAAGAATAAACTTACAACTCATGGGTTTTATGCATGCTAGTCTAATATACAGATCTGGGCTTTTTGTTTTGCCCAACTGTAGGAAAATATTTTCAACAATAAATTGAACTGTCTCTGCAGTACTGAACTGTCTCTGCAATACTACTCTGCACTGAACTGCAAATACTTGGAAAAAAAGAAAACTAACCACTTTTTGACAAAAGATTTTTCACATTAAAAAAGAAAATCAAAGATATTTATGAAATAGAATGGAGGAAATAAAAAAAAATTAATCCCTTTAATAAGCTTGCCTGAAGTGTTGCACTTTGTTTAAATTTTGTGGCTTTGGAGTTTTATTAAATCATTTAATAATTGCTTTTCAATTTTAAAATGACTGTAGTCATGCGGAAGGATACAACAAATAATGCTATAAAGTGAAAATCTCCAGATATGGTGGAACAGCTCCAATCTGCAATTCCAGATATTCTTGATAATTTCATCGCACTGTTTCAGCACTGCCCCCAGACGGTCTTGCGAATGTCAGAGAAACAGTTCAGTCCTCAAACCTATTTAGTCTTTTTTCCTCTGACAATCAGACTCACAAGGAAATCCATAGAACTGGACAATTTGGGTAACATGTTGGACCAGAGATCCCCAAAGTCCTCAGCAGACATCAGTGACTGTTTCTCTCTCATACATCTAGCTACTAAAGTTGAAGGTGAAAGGTTTCTGTTCTAAAAAACTGCAATTGTTGTAAGTTTCTGACAAAGACAATGAAGTGAGGAACACAATTTAAATGCAGTGAATGAGGAGGAAAAAAAAAGAAAAAAGCTAAATAGTGACAGAAGATCAGAGCCTGAATCCCTTTAATTTTATATTTCTTTTTAGCTGAATCCCCATGACAACCATCATTAACATATTCTGCAAATCTATAGGATTTCAACCACAATGAAAAAACACATGCAAGTTATCCAGCAAAAGAAAAAAGGTCCATCAGAAGAACAGAGTAATGCTTTGCCACTTTCCATCTAATATATATTTGCAAGAGTAATGAAATGAAAGAAAAATCCAGTTCTACACTTGCTGATCTTCCCCCTCCACCCCTTTTTACATGCAGAAGCACTGATTCACACAAGAGTTGTAGTATGAGTGGTCCAGCACCAGTCTCCTCTTTAAATGCTTATTTTCAAGACAACTGTCTATGTAGAGCTGTACTAAAAAGAGAAAAACAAGTACTACCAAAGAGTAATTCTCCAGAGAACCTCGTGTTCCTGAATGCATCCCAAAGTGCATTCTGATTGCATTTGAATGCCTGAATTTATTTTCTAAAAGTTTTTGTATTTCTATTGCTAAATCAACCCTTCTTTATATACATCTAGTTCAAATAATTTGCCTTCTCCAGATTGGAAGTGTGTCTGCATTTCAATAAAACTTCTCTTGTTCCATTTGTAAACATGTTCTACAGAAAGAGCAAGTGTACATAGAGAGAAGTTTCATAGTAGTCCATCCAAGCCCATTGGACTGAAGCTGAGGTTCTCAGTACCTCAGCTAGACAGTTTAAAGCTGTTTTAGATTTACGTGTGTGTTGTGGTTTGCTTCTGGTATATAAGAAGCTTGGCTCTCCAGTTGCCTGCCATTACTGATCCTTCTCAGGATTTTTTTTCCACAGTGTTTTTCAGGCTAAGTTGAAGGAACTCATCTGCAAGCATCACCAGAAGTGTCCTATGTTACTTCCTCTAGTCTGTGAGCTATGGATGATCCAAAACTGGAGTGATCTGAAGGCAAATGAAATCAGAGCAACAGAAATTTTCAACGTTTTGTAGGCCTTAAGACAGACTTTATCAAAAACGTGATATCAGTTGAGGCTACCTAACAAAATCTGGAATAATGCAGATTCAGTTACAAATCCCACCCACTTCTTGTTTTCCTCCAGCTCCATTAGAAAAGAAGGTTAGGTCCAGCACCCCACTGTTGCTATGCTACAGTTGCCACTGTCTGGTTGACTGGAATTTCTACAAAAGGATTAACAAAACATTCTTGCTTTTTCAATAAGGAAACTAGTCAGACAGATCTAAAAGCAGTCAGAATAACCTGGTTTGATACATTCATTTGACCTTAGCCCAGGTACTCCACCACCGACCTTCACTTCAGCATCTAAGAGGGCTTGTCAAATGATTTCTCTTGTGAAGGCAATTCAACAGCAGATAGTGTAGAAGCAAAAAGAAATATCAAGCAATTCAATGAATTCACTGCTATTTCTGCCTTTTAAATCTGGAGGTGAAAATATTGGTTAAAATACAAGGGTCAAACTCATCTCAAACATCACTCCATGTGCTGTGCTAAATGTGATTCTGGTCTGATCAGTTTAAGTGAGTGTATCTTAACCAAGAATACCTCCCTTTCTTTCAACACTTCATAGATACTGTGATCGTCCAAACTGAATCTAGGTTTATTCAGAGACTTTACTTCAAGCTGTCCAAAGAAAACTCAGTTTTGTTACATGAAATTGTGTTGAAAGCAAACAAGTGCTATCAACTAGTTTTGTTTAAAAAGAAGCACTGCGGCAGATGAAAAGTCAGGCACTTGACGCAAGTCTGAAGTGTCTCAAAGTTGGATATGCTCTTTACAGCCGAGTGTATGAAATCAGTAGGAATGAGGCTGCTACCCATTCTTCAACCCTGTTTATCCTGGGTTACACAGACAACAGGAAAACAGGTATGGGATAAAATGATGAGTTTGCTTGACTATTGAATGCTCTCTAGGAGCACTGGGATCTGCCATGACCCAGACTTCTCTGGATCTTGAGAGAGGAATTTAGCCAGAGCACAACAAGCAAAGGAAGGACTTTGCATATCCCCCTGCCTCAGCCTTCTCCTCCTAGGATGTAAAGCGTGTCTAATCCTGTCTTGTTTTATTTTTTCCAAGTCTAATTACTCTTTAGAATTCAGATTTCTCATCTCAGCTTTCATAATACTGCTTGGACAGAGGGACAACTAAAAGGAAAGCTTTAAAACAGTCAATATAATTTTGCAAGGTATTAACGTGACAAGTACCTGTCAGTCCAAATCTTCAAGCAAAAATATTGGAAGGATTTGAAAAACAAGCCTTTTATTATCTCTCTCTGTTTTTTTTCTTTCTCTTCATCTGTGTGTTTGACTTGATCTTAAAAGGAAGCTTCATCAGACTACCACAACACCACAACAAAAAGAACAACCCAAGACCAGCAGAGTGGATATTTTTACTCCCAAGAGAAAGTATTGTCTTTAAAAAATGTCATCTAAGTAAAGTCAGTTAAAGCTTTTATTGTGTTAAAGATAAACTGAAGAAGAAACCTACAACTGAAAATAAAATAGGGGATACTGTATGCATTACTATTTTTATTTCATATATTAAATTTTTATTATTTTAATTATTTTATTTATACCTTGAATGGAAGCCTAGGAGGATATTTTATGGACATTATTGCAATAGGAATACACCAATGGGAAAAATATCCATATTCCATTTAACTTGTTAAAATATTGGAAGAGTGAATGAAGGCTTAATTAATCTTTCATTCTGAGCCAGGCCTGGGACACTTTGAAATCTAAAGCAGCATGTTGCATTTAGAAAACCTGGTAAACATTCGCATTTCCACACTGAAGCTACTGGCTGTTAGCATCCCCTAATCCTCTCAAATCCCCAGTTCTGGGCTCTGTTGATCCATCATTAAAATATGATATGAGCTTTTGTGCTAGATTATTGGGATGTAGCAGTGCAAGTGCAGGAGGTGAATAATTATGCCTGAATCTTCCTAGTATGTGCAAGACATCATCTCTATGCCATTAAGCAGTCATAGCAAAAAGCCCAGAACACATTCAGCTTTTCCCTAGGACTCACTATTACTTTGCACTCAGCCAAACTTTGCATTAAAAATCCAGGTGGAACATCTGCAGGGCCCCAGCTGACAGCCTGGGTGAGTGTTGTCAGCTACAGATATAGTCATCTGGAAAGGGGATTAAAGAGTTACTTTGGATTTCAATTCTGTTTTCTGGCCATATCATTTTTTTTTCTCTTTTTGATTCTTCACTCTGAGTTTCTTCAGCTGATTACAGAAATTCTGTTGCTCTTTATTGCAAATAACTTGTCACTCACATGTCAATCAGAGGAGGCCATCTAGCCTGAAGTGGCAAGGAGACAGGTTACATATACCAGCTGTCTTGGAGAAAGCTCATCCGAGCAGAAAGTTGGACATTGAATTGAAAAGATTGTCCTGCAAATTTGACTTTTAGATCCAGTTCCTCATGGCAGGAAGTTAAAAATCAGTGGAATGCAAGAACCTTTCATTAAAATGCTCTGGAGGAGATAGAATATCAGTAAGATCAAGAGTAAAATGATCACAAGCTGCCAAAATTGCAATGTTCAGACTTGCAAACCTATTGGCTCATATGATAACAAATAAATAAATAAATAGCATTAAAATCAAAATTAAGAAGAAAAAACAAGAGAGATGAAGCTGAAATGCTTGCAGGGAGAGTGACTTCTGAAAATTAAATGAATTAGAAGTGAAAAATGTTCCTAGTTTGCATCTGACAGAAAGTGTCTATAAACTGGGAAAATCTTTCCCAGACACTGACAGAACACTTAAAATGCTCTGAAATTAATGCTCTGAATGCCTGAGAAGAGCAGCTCCTCCAGAAGCAGAACAGACAAGTTAACATTCCACAAGTACCTCCTGAACCAGCAAATGCAGTTTTCTGCAGGTTTCACATTCACACAGACTTTCTCAGATCACAAGAAATATCAGGCTGAGAAATAAATCCAGACATTTGTACTTCTCCAGGGTATACACAAGTTATGCCCCAACCCCTCTTTTCTCGGTGCCAGCAGATCCCATTTAATCAGCCCCCCGGAGCTGCATGGACGCTGTACTCACCAGCTGGCTGCTGTACCAATACAGCGAGGACTCCTTCAGCACACACCAGAACTTCTTCCATTTGTTGCCAATGAAAGCTCCTTTTTCCTTCTTCTTGTAGAGCCATCCTTGGCAATCGGCTTGCCCCAGCTCTTTGCACGATATCCTTCGTCGGCTCATTATAAAGAACCCTGTGCCGTTTAAAATACAGTATTCTGCTTGTTTAAAAGTACATTACCAGAGAAGATTTTTCTGCCAATTAAAGATAACAACCTTAGCTAGCGATCTCAAGAATCTTCCAAGCATATTTTAAAATAAGCTTAGAAGTCACTCAGTTTTGTAACACTGTAAATACATTTGAGAGGGTATTCTTGTGCATTAAAAAAAAAGCTATAGCTCATACAAATAGCAATTAATGCAAAGATAACCATGCATAGAGATAATACTACTTTTTGTAAATTAAAAATATATCCTCTGATCCTCTTAAGAGGAGCATGCATACATTGCCCTTCACACAGCTGCACTGAAAAAACAATACAGCTATTTAAGTCACAGCTAGAGAAAACTATTATGCCAAGTACATGAAAATCGCTAATGTGTGTGTATGTGCATGTATCTGTCGGATTCCACTTCACCGATTTCCAGCTTTGAATCAATTAACATACCACAAGCATTTAGTCCAAAGGAACAGCACGTTGTCATTTTTTTTCCCAGAACTGATGCAAAAAATCAGTGGAGTTAAAAAGCAATCTTTCACCAGCTATGCAGCAGCATTAAAATCCTCACCCTCCCAAGAACAAGAACATTAAGAAAATAACAAAAGAGGAACTCAGAAGAGAAGAGAAAAAAAAAATCACTCATTACCTTGACTTTTCTTTTTTGTCTTCTGACGCAAGGGAACCTGTAAGAAATGCAGGAAGGAAAGAAAAGAGGAAATTTCAGATTGTGTTGCAACATTTGTGTAGAAAGGGGAGGGGGAAGCTAGAGAAGGATGTGGTGGTGATGGTGGTGGTGGTATATGCAGGATGGAATCGCATAACCCACTCACAGCTGAAAGGACGTTTGTAGCTGAAGCATAAAATGTGTTAATTAAAATTGATGTATATGTAGTTGAACAAGAGCTAACGTAACTATTAGAACACGTGTCTATCCACTAGTGCTTCCTGTTTCACACCCACAAGCAGCTTCTATGCTATGCTTGCCTGAATTGTATTCAGTGTTTAGAAGTTGAAAAAAATAAAAGTTAAGACTCCAATATTTTAATTTTGATTACACTCTGAGAGGGAGGATTGCAACATGGAGAGATAAAAAGTACACATCAAGTATTTTACTGTCCTTTAGCACATTCTAAGTACTCCTAAAAATATGAAATAAATTGCATTTTCCACTCCTTTTCAAATTAGTACAGAGATTGTATTTCTCCTGACATGAGTAGAGTTTCATAATATTTGTGTTAAAAAAAAATACCAAAAAAAGATCACAAACTTGGCAGATTATCCTAACAGTAATATATAATATGCCAGAAGATTGCCAAGAAATATATACGAATTTTAATTACTACAAAAATAACATACTTGAAATACATTAATTTGAGTGTAAATTTTTTTGTGAAAATATTTCGTCTCACACAAATACATAGAAAATGAAACTAAAACAGAAGACTAGCATTAGACATCTAAAGTCTGGGATTTAGACTGAACTCTCCCCAGACTGGCTAATTGCATGATTGTGGACCAAATACTTTACTTCTCCTTGCCTCAGACTTTCCTTTTTTTTTTTTTTTTTTTTTTTTTGGAAGGTTTTGAGACCCTTAGATGATAAATGATGAATACAGAGGACTCACAATTTAATGTGCTCAGCCACAACGTTGCTATGCTAAGCTGGTAACTACCTGATCCACTGCAGCACTGCAGAACTACGTTATGAACATGCCCAAAATATTTTATCTACATAGCCAGCTAGTTTTTAAGGAAAACAAAAACTTATATCACAATATTTTGAAGGATTTGATGGCCCTTCTTGCAGGTGAATAAAAGGTGAATAAAGCCACATCATCTGAAAAAAGTAATAAAAGAAACCACTATCACCCAATATTTACAAAAGCTGGAACATCCTCTATCCAGTTATCTTTGTAGTATATATCAAGGTGCAGAACTGCATTCCACAGAGACTTGTGCTTGTTTGGTGCTTATTTGAGGTGACCTGTACAATGGACTTGCGAGAGGCTTTAGCAGGAATGAATAATCCCAGATTTCTGCTTAATCATCATCTATTTGGTCTTTCATTTGCTCTTTTTTTTTTTTTTAATTCTATCATGGCCTGTCTCTCTCAGACTATTCTCCATGACAACAGACAGAGAAAAGCAATGAGAAAACAGATCAGTTATACTGAAGTCTCTGATATTTCCCCATTCTACATGCACTTCTCTTTTTCTTCATTCCAGTGAAAGTAATGCCTCACTTAGGAGGGCACACAGAAACAAAATACAGCTTTCATGAATCAAAGGGTCATGTTGTCACTAATCATTTTTGTTTAGAGCTGCCAAGGAAATACAAATAAGAGACACAAATGTGAATCAACTTTCCTTGAGCAGAAACTACACAGTTCACTCATAGTGAGACGATGCTGCATCCGTGCCACTGAGCTGCAGTGGGGGCACTTCCTCATCATTATCCACCATAACAAAATTGTACAGTAATAAGAGCAATACTGGGACAGGATGTGGCTCTCTAAACAACTGAGTTGTTTGCCACACCAGCATTACTGATGACCTAGATCAAAATAGTATAGTCTGTGGCCTGTCTCTTAAGGACGCATTGAATTCCATACTGCAGAAACCATCAGTTTTAAATACAGGCTGAAGAGGAAACCAATTACCCAACAGCAATAGGGGAAAAAAAAAAAAAAAAAAAAAAAAAAAAGAATATTCAGCAGCAATTACTGTTCTCTGCAGCAGGGAAACAAGGGTGATGGATCTCCAGCTCTTTACATTTCATTGGGCAAATTGGGAAAGCAATGGGAAAAGGCCAACTCCCAGTAATGCCTGGATAAATTCAGTTTGCCTGGATAAAATCAGTGACAAATATGTGATAAAGTCATTAACAAGTGAGATGTCATGAATTAAGCTACATTTCTGGTTTCCAACTCCAGGATCTAGAAAGCTGAGTAAAAATCACGCCTTTGAGCTTCTCTATTAAGGGAAAAACAAAAGGTCTAATGCTAGAGAGGTCCCCCTCTGAATATTTTCCATGCAAGTCAGGAATCTGCCATTTCATATATCTGAATACGAACATTAGTTAAGACATACTTTTAAGTTTCACACCTAGTAGGAAATATTAATAGCAGTGCAGAGCAATGAGAAAATACTCATTATGGAATGTAGAAGTAACACCAGTAAAATCAGTGGTAACAACCAGGGGTGTAACAGAAGTTTTGTAACTTAACATGCTGTAACTATTAGACATAGTCACTAGAGTGACGTGAAACAGAACCAAATGCCATAATTTTACCAAGCCTCTGATGATGGTGGGTTTTTTTCTATATAGCTCTATTTCCCAGTGGTAAGTGATTTTTTTTTTTCATTATCACAGCTTCAACTGAAAAAAAAAAAGTTAGATCTATTTCTAGTTATTCTTGTTACCAGGGAAAATCTGAGAACAATAATGCTCAGAAATCTTTAAGATAAATGAAACGCATTAAAATTAATTCCTAGCTAGGGTCCTAGTTTTTGTGAAGTACTGGCAATACAGGGTAGCTTTTATCTTATTTTTTTGGTAGGTTTTGCCTTACACACCAGTTTACTAAGGTCTGGAAAGCTGAGCAGGATGGGATGGTTACCCTGCATGCAAATTCAGGCGGCACAGTTGCTGTCCAAAGCCCTTCCACTCCTGAGATATATGCACAGTGGCAACGGAAGCTAGACGGCTTATCACTCAGTCACTCATTTGCCAGGCTGGTTTCACAGCTAAGCAGTGGCATCACTGGAGAAGAGACGTCTTCATGAAGCTCCTGAACTGCAAATATGTAGCATGGATGCTACCTCGTTCCAAGCTCCCTTCCACACAGTTACTTGTGCTGTAGCTGGAAGACAACCAGAGCAACCAGAGACAGGCAGAGTGCCTTGGGAAGCTGTCAGGAAACAGTCAATGCTCCTGTCAGAAGCAGCAAATGCACTGCCTGCTTACTGAGGGGCCTGCAGTCTGTCAAAGTCCTCAGGAGAAACAGGTGGGGTAAAAAAGTATACAGGATTGCTTTAGATGAAAGAAAAATATTTTATACAAGCAAAAGCAGGAGCACTGCACTAATATTGAAGGTCATTCTTCATGCCTCATGGAGTTTTACTCCTGACTCAGTAGTCTGAGAAGACACCAAAGGTAACAATGATCATCATTTCATTTTTTTGTTTCACAAAAGTAAAACAAGCACCTAAGAAATTTGCTAAGCTTCTGTGTCATAAGTTGTTGCTGTGTCCTACATTGAAGGGTAGGACTTGGATTTCCAAGATGGGACTCCTGGAGTCAGGCCCATGCAGTAGATCTCATGTGACTCAGAGCAGAACTGGGGCAGTTGTGACAGTCCCACTGTCTGGACACAAACCCAAACATACACTCCCTGCAGTTTATCCAGTGACTCAGTATGTCATCAGATGTACTTACGGGAGCGCTGCCATCAATATCCATGAGTGTTGGTTTCAAAAGCAGTAGGAAAGCTGCAAAAGAATAAAGTTTTGTTTCCTGAAATTCTGTATTATGTTTTCATAACAATAGTGGAGCAAAATCTGTCCAAATGCTTTGACTTGTTAGCTTTACCCTCCCTTCTCCCAATCCATCCCCTCAAAAAAGAGATCTTTTTCAAAAATGATGCTATATTATCTGATCTGTTCACACTAATGCAGAACTACAGAACATAATAAAAACTCACAGACATAATAAACAGACATAATAAAAACTCAAGAATTTACTTTAGGCAATGAAAAGAGAATAAATATGTAAAGTTGGTTTGTTTGCTTTCTATTTTCAACTTTGAAAGAAATATAGAGAACATAGAACTCCCAGAAAACAGTGGGAAAACACTGGGCTCAGTCTTAGTAGAAATCAAATTCACTAACGTGCCTGATTTCCTAAATGAGCTGGGATCTCATACTGAACTACTTATTCTAAAAAGAATTGCAGTTTTTCTTTTTGGAGAACGAAATCTTCATCTTCAGCTGCATACTCTAGATTTGCAGAGTGAGGTGTTTTTTTTTCCCCAATGATTTGCAAAGTTTTAAGCCATCATTTTGGGCAAAAGCATGAACAGTCTTATTTGGTGTATACAACCAACAGCTACCTGCCAAACTGATTTGCTTTTGCTTGGAAGAATGTACATGAGAATAAAAATAAATGCAATTTAGAATATGTCAGATTTTTCATGCTAGCAAAGTTTCTATGAAATTGAATTGAATAAATAATTATTCCATGAATTGGGAGAGCGTATAAAACTATTTAAATGAGCAGGAAAGGATTTCCAGAAATAGAGCCACACTTCAGAATAATTTTTAACAATAACTTTTTTTCTGTTACTAAAACCAATAGTTTTTAGAGATGAAACATTCTTAAATATACAATATTTGCTTTAGTTTGAAAACAATATCTTGAAACAGAAAATAAAAAACACCTATTTGCTTCCAACAATTTCAGCCCAAAAATAGAAAACCAAACAAATGCACATTTTTCTGGCTCCAAACTCTTTCTATTCAAAAATAGAAAGAAGCACTTTCTAAAAGTGGCTCAAACTGAAGTAATAAAAAGATGAGGAGAGATGTTGCAGCAAGTAATTTCAAGGATGTTTAGAATCATAGCTAGTGTAAACAAGCATAGGAAACACCTTTAGTTATACAGGCAAATAACATAAGAGTCTCAAATGCTGAGCCAGAAAGTCGTGGAATAACAGATGAAATTATAGTAATTATTGCAACATGTGGCCTTTTCCCTGTCATTTCTTCATTTTCTGTGCACCCTGGATAGTGGGAGGACTGTAATTACATGATTTTAATCAGCATGATATCAGGAACAAGAGGAGTAGAGTCAGTTAACCAGCAAGGAATGTTTCCGCCTCTGTTATTTGTGCAAGCATAGCTGCAATGGACTTGAGCAGAACCTTCCCCGTCCAAGTTTAACTCCGACTTTGTTTAGCTTCCAAAACTGGTTAACTGGTCTAACTGAGCCAATTTTCAAAAGTAACAATGACTTTTAAGTCATTCCAGTTAAGACTATTACTCCCTGTGTAAAGAAAGTCACAGAAATTATATGTTCACTGCAGTAAAAACTCTAATATAGATAAGTTCAGTTTATTTCTCCCAAGCAATCAAATCTGATTGAGAGTAGTTGCATTGTGAAATAGTGCTAGGGTTTTTATGTCTACTCAGAGGTACTCAGTTGTTGTAAAGTCAGCATTTCAGAAGACTACAGTCTTTTGTTCTTTGTGCTATAGTGAAAGAAGCAATTCCTTTCAGTTCTTTGCAGGTATACTGAGGGACAAACATCCATCCTTTCTGAACAGACAGGGGTAGACAGGGGATTTCTGAGAAAGAACTGGGATAATAAGCCAGCTCTTGTAGAGCTGGTCTATGTCCATCCTGTTGGCTGGTCTAGCATGAATGTGCAGGGCCTGGCTCTGGGAACGAGTCAGCAACTCAGTTCATACCTCAAAGTGAGCACCCTGAAAGGAAATATTTGCTCTGAATCCTAACTAAAGTAGCTGCAGCAGGAGAAGACTTGGCCCAAACCATCTGAGAGTATAGCTCTTGGTCGATCTAGTAAAGATGCATATCCATTTGTGAATTCTTGCTCTGAATCAGGTTGACATTGAATTTAAAGCTGGGTCTCACCTTCAAAAAGGTACACTAGGCACCAGGGCCAGAATGTGGGCCTCCAGCTCTCTTCCTAAGTATTTCAGTTGGCAGTAGTTTCAGATATGGGAAATGGACAAGAGGGTAAGCCTCCAGACTGTGATGTAGGCACCCACATGGGCAAGTGCACCAGGAGCTGCCATGGATGTTCACTTTACTGAAACTAGAAAGTGGAACAAACCAAAGAGAAAGAAAACATAACACGACAAAGTGAATCCTCTCCCATCTCAGATGGCTTTCAAGTACACTGCCCAAGCAAGAGCAAGTCAATACAGTGTCAGATTCCTTCCATTCACGCAAAAAAAGCAAACCTGCATCTCCTGTATCCTGTAAAATATGCTTTACTTATTTCCTTTGCTTTTAAAAAAACAAAAAGCTCATGAGCCGTTAGATGAAAGTGAGAGGGATGGTTTTAGTCTGGTATTTGTAAACCATACCTACATTTCTTTGACTTTCTTGAAACAAGAACTCACAACAGAGTGATCATTTAATTTTCATCAGAACCCACCCCCAGAACCTATCAGACAACTCAATTTCAGACTGAACTGAATACTTTGTGTGAAAAGTCATTTCAGGAAAATATTTCTAATTCAATTTTTTTTTTTTCAGTTCAACAACTGAAATACAAATACTAGTTTGCATAGCTGTATTTATTAGTACCATCTCCTTTTTCAAGAACAGTAATAAACAAGTAGATACATGAGTGAGTAATAGCTGATTCAACAAATGTGGAAATAGAATGAGTGACTTATCAGAAATAATTTGCAATCATTTCCATTTTACTACAGCATTTCTTCTGAAAGAAATATCTCTGTTGAAGGTCAAAGGCAGTGGTAAGTGGAGAACAAAAAGGAAAATAGATAACAAAATTTCTAAAGAATCTGATTTTTAAAAGCAGTCATAATCTTGGATTCTACTTATTTTCTTGTGCAAGTTAAAATCTACAAGGCTTGACAGTGTCATAGCAGTTTCAAAGTGCAGTTAGCCTGTTTATTTGCACTGATCTTGATACAAGTCTGCTAAACATGTTTTCCAAGTATCCCCCAGACGACATCCAGAGTAGGCATATCCCTTCCTGCTTCTCAGTAAAATATTTGAGAAATGTAACATGACTCAAATTATTTGTATGCAGAAGCATTCAAAATACGCATAGCTCAGTTCCTGTTCAGATGGCATTAACATAGACTAGGCAAAGAAAAAAAAAAAAAAAAAAAAAAACAAGTATAAAGTCAAAACTGTAAAACAATCTCCTGGAAAAGCTTTTTAGCTTTCTTCTCTTTCTTTTTATACATTGCTCACCAGGTTTAACTTCTCTATTTGTTCTCTGTTTATTTGGCTGCCTGCAAATCTGCCTTTCAACAAGCAATGAATTGACAGGTGATATGAAATTAGCAATGGTGCTACAAAAATTTCCCTAAAAATCAATGATTACTTAATCAAAAATCACACATTACAAGCATTAGGAACAGCATTGTCCTAAATCACTGTAGGGCCTGAAGCATTGTCCTGTGTCAAGCAGAGAGGCTTATATAATAGCCCTAAATCCTCGCATTGCCACCCACTGAGGTTCTTACAACAATGGAGGGCAAAAAATAATTACAATAATTTCAAGCTCGTAAATGTACTTCTGATTACTCGAGATCAGATTAATCTGACAATCTTACTACTATTGACGATCATAGAATTAATGGATCTAGTCAGTTAAATAACTGGTTAATTAACCATGAAAATCAACATCTAACTTGTACAAGAGGGGCTTGTTCTGCCGATTACACACTGCCTTATCAGAAAGGTCAGATATTAAGATAGAATTATTCCATAAGGCAGTGAAAAACTTAGACACAAAGGTGTTTTTTTTTACATTTACCTAAGACTGTCCCACCCGAATGATGTTACATGTCATCAATCTTGGGCCCTATGACTTTGTGATTCAAAATGCAGATAAAATTACAAATTCACTATTAATTTTACAAACAAAATATATTATTTAAATATATTAAAATATATATATTACAAAACATATATTTTACAAAAAAAATTAAAGAGTAATTCTAAGTCATAATTATGAGTGTATACCTCTAGGCTGGACCATAGTAGATACCTTTCAGAATATTAAAAGACAAAAATGACAAAAATGACACACACACATCCCAAATTTACCTTTGAAAAGACACAAGAATTCTTTTAGCAGGCTCACCTAGCAGCAGAAATGTATTTGTCACATTATACCAGCAGCTATGACCTTATTTTCCAATGAATTTAAAGCAATTCTATCCCCTCAGCTGCAAGCAATTCAAAAAGGCGACTTTTGACTCTGCTTGGACAAAGGCCAGGAACAACTGGAACAAAGTTCACTGCTCCTGTCTCCAAGACAGAAGGGGCCTGGAGACATCGCCCCAGCTGGATTACAGCCAGATTCTGCTGATCCAGCCGGGAAGCCCAGAGGGGCAGGTTACAGGTGTTGACAGCTCGGATAAAGTAGCTACAGGAGCCCAGATTTGCAGGCTGGACAGAAGGAATAAATTCAATAAAAGAGAGGTGCTACACAGCTCTCTCCCGATCTCCCAGACCAAAGAAAAGAAATCAAAATGGTATGCTTAGTACAACGCTTCTGCCCCAAATGTGAATTTGCCTACACATTCTTATGGTGTTGAGATGACTCCCAGCCCTGTTGCTAGATGCCCTTGGAAATCCATAGCCAAAGCCCTGGAAGTGGAGAGCTTTTGTGGAAAAGGTAAGAGTAATACTGAGGCGTCCTATCTGGCTCTTTTGCTGTGGCTGAAACTACTG